AACACGTATTGCATCATTGATCATGCTGATTACTGGAATGAGAAATAGTTTTAAACAACAGTCCACGAACAGGGCTTTACCAATTTAAGCAGGTGCTCTCACCATGCTCAAGTCTGTGAAGCATACTACTTGTTCTGCTCAGCCCATACTGTTATCCCCCAGTCCTTAATGTAGCATAGACTAGATTTTCAACAGGTTTTCTCCCATCTCACTGAAGCTTCTTTTGAACTTAAATGCAGCTTTTGATCAAAATCATATATGTTCCCATACAAAGCATTAGTGTACAATTTAAGTTGCACTGCCAAACCAACACTGTTACAAAGCATTTCTTGGCAATCCTCCCACAGCAACAGCTGTTATGGTTTCTTACTGTTATTTATATATCTATATATCTATATCTGTCACACCAAGGCCCAGAGCTATGCGTGCACAGTCCTGGTGTGAGTAATCCTTCGTGACTGTCTCATTGATCCACCATCTACACGAGTGAATCAGACGCAGATGTCAAAGAGACAGAAGGAACACTACTTCTGTGTGTGTCAAAATCGTACGTTGTGTCGTTTTCCTTATGTCAATCCTGACAGCAGTCTATCCAACACCTCAGCAGATCTGGGTGTTGTTTGACGTCGCACTCAGCAATGATCCAGCTATATGATAGTAGTGTGTAAATAATCAAGTATGGACAACGATCTAGTGATTGACATCATGAGCATCAATCTAAGCAATCGGGACATGATGACATGCATCAACAAAACCTGCAAGCCTGTCACCCCAATAAGTCGCCATTTACGATGACCAAGGGATGCAGAAGACCAATTCTAACCTGCATCTTAACAGGGCCCAAAACATAGAAGTCTGCTTGTGTGAACTTGTCTTTGGCCCTTTTCATTAGAGAGAGTAAATGTTGCTTTAAGCCACATCAGCAACACTTTGCAGCTATTCACGGATAACTTTTTCATTAGATCTTGGGGTCAATTCTTTAAATATAAAAACTGAGCCAAAAGTCTACAACATATTTAAAATTAAGCTATAACCAAAACATCAGCTTAAATTTTAGACTCATCCCATGTTAATGAAAGTGATAAAATTAAAAAAGATTCAAACATCACTTTTGTAAAAGAAATGAAAAACTGTCCCTTCTGCTATTGACCAGCAGAACTACCAGACATGGCAGATACTGAAGTGTGTAGCAATATATAGAACTGCAATTGTTATAGATCTAAATGTGTATTATAACTGTTTGCTCCACAATAGGATTTACAAAAAAGTCAATACTATTGTTGATAATGTGCATACCAATTAATGGTTTCAATAGTCGCAATTAGTTATCGGTTGAATATAAATTTTGCACATTCAAACATTTGTGAATGAATTTATTTGATAGACTTTATGGAAAAACAACACAAATAAAAATGAAACTGGTTGTTTTTTAAGCAATATGCTTAAAACCCAATAAACATTGCAAAATGTATTCCAGTAAACTGGCATACCAGTAATACTTTGCAGTCCTATTAAAATTGGAAAACAATTGACAGGACCCATAATAAGATTCACTTTTGCCAGCAATAAACTTGAAAAAAGAGAAGGTAAATCAAAATGGTCAGGAGGAATTGGGGGCCTTGTCATGGCCCCAAATTTACAAATGTGAGACCTACATTAAATTTTAAAATAAAAAGGACAGGAATTGTTCTTGAATTCCAAACTATGTGACTTGACTGACAAAACGGGAAAAATCCTTTTTGTTCACACTGGTATTACTTGAAATGTTATCATTTTCTGAAATTCAGGGATAACTTAATATTTCATCGATTCCAGTGCAAAATCTGTACAACTAACCACTTTATACATACCGGTAGTCTATTCTATATATTGGTCCTGTTGTCTGTGAAACACTATAGTCTGTGCGGTGAAAACGTACCGATGAATTTCACTTTCAACGAAAAAGTAAATCAAATAAAGTGAAATTAAGATTGCGAATCCTCATAATTTTACCTTGCCATTTGAAACTTAAATCTCAGAATTTTATTCAACTTAGGATAAAAGTTGTTTAACAAATGGTCATAGTTTCAAATCGGTATTATTGGTTTGTATTACAAGGGGGTATCAGTCTAAGTCTAAGTAAACTTAGTCTCAGTACTATTACTCCTCTACTGTATAGTAGGGTAACGAATAATACTGAGGCTAAGTTTACTTAAACTGAAGGGGGTATGTACATTAAATGAAACACCGAGAACAAAGAGGGTTGGTCTAAGTTGACGCTCATCACGTACCGCACGTGCATTTGTTTCACTGTTCCAACTACTGCGCTTACTCCCTTGTAATACAAACCAATACATATAAGTGATTTGAAACTATGATCGTTTGTTAACTTTTTTTCCTAAGTGGAATAAAAATCTAAGATTTAAATGTTCAATTGGCAAGGTAGAATTATGAGGATTTGCAATCTTAATTTCACTTTATTCGATTTACATTTTTGTTTAAAGTGCAATTCACCGGTACGCTTTCACTGCAAACAGATTATAGTTACCTTTCCATAATGGTAGTTAAATATATAATAATATGACTTGATTATATGTTTGGAATATTTACCATATTTACTAGTCCTGTTACAATTCACTCGTCATATTCTGTGAATCGAACCATATCTCTCCATGAATTTAATTCATTCTTCACGGACAATAGAACTGAATATTTCAGAGAGTGTTTGTGAGTGAGTTTGGTTTTTACGCCGCTTATAGCAATATTCTGGCAATATCACGGAGGGGGATACCAGAAATGGACTTCACACATTGTACCCATGTGGGGAATCGAACCCGAATTTTCGGCATGACGAGCGAACGCTTTAACCACTAGGCTACTCCACCGCCCCAAGAGTGTTGGTACTTTCTAGTGTTTACTTTTTGTACTTTACAAACTAGTTTGTTGTTTATCTATGTGAACGTAATGCAAAATGGAATATATCCAAGCCATGCTGTAACGTAACTTGTGTTATTTTGGAGTAGGCCCCTTGCACCACTGACACACCTAGAAGCGGCATTATTTATGATTTATTCATTTTTTTACTAAATATTGTATTCGCCTCTCAGTATATATTTGTTGCTTATCCTCATTTTTACAGACAATTGTTACACACATAGGGACAAATAGCATTGTCATGTAAAACAGCTATCGATTCTGCAGGAAAAAACCTGCATACAAAATGTAGATAATAATTTGATCTACATAAAAACTGCTGAAGTAACAATTACTGCCCGTTGAAAATAAACATAATGACTTTTGACAATAGAAATTGGCAGTTAGATGACATGATGAAAAAATGCCACCTTTTATCACCATTGTTTGCTAAAAATGATGAATTACACATAAAACAATCTTTGTTCCAACCACAACAACTATCAACTATATTCTCGCATCATTTTAGACTTTTACTGCAGTCATACTTCCATGATGGTGTGACCAACAAGTTACGTATAATTTCATTAGTAGAAGTATAAAAAGACAAATTTTATTCTCCAAACTTTGACTTCCTTTATGCATGGTTGGGATCAAGATGATCCACAATGTTTCATATTATTGTGAAGCCCATTTCTGGTGTCCCCCGCCGTGATGTTGCTGGAATATTGCTAAAAGCGGCGTAAAACCAAAACTCAGTCAGTCAGTCAGTCATTATTATTGACATAGGTTTTCAGTCGACCAGCCTATAGGCCCAGACTCACAAATGCTGCCCTTGGGCAATAAACCATACCACAATTATGTTTAAATTGCAATACAAACAATATGGATTTACAAAATAATGTGACATCTACCAAGTACCATGTCTACAATTAAATGAATTATGACTCATCCCTGTACAATGGAATCACACCAGGTAGAGCACTTATCATGTAGAATTAACCCTTTGGCTGACTGCCTCTATGTCACTAGTCAACATAATTGCCACAATCAGACAACTACTCACTGTCAGATCCTGTAGAAAAACGTCACATGATGAATGTCTCCTCACACTTAACAACGTCATGACCATGGATAACACTAAGTCATGTAGTCAGCATGACAACACAGTGTTTAACATTCAGGATCCTATTAATACGGTCCTCATCAATCAAATGGTAATGTCCAAATTGAAGGTTAGGGGACTCTTGTTCGACAAAATCATTCCAGGACATCTAACATAACAGTAACAGTGAGAACTTTTGGATTCATCACTGAGCATATGCTAAGGATGCCGTTTACATGTACAGTTATCATGATTATACTAGGTGACACTGATCAAGAAATTCCAAAAACCAAACATTATTTTATAGAAGAAAATAATTATATTCACATGGCCATACATGACATGAACTTTCGAAATCAATATGAAAGTTATTTGATGTGTTCACATGAATGTAAACTAAACTTTGTTCATTTCAACAATTGTATCATTGTCACAAGATGAAATGCACTCTGGCATAGCCAAGGACAACATGTGATTAAATTGCTGAATGAATTCATGAAGCGTTTCTTTTCTAGTATTTGAACATGAGCAAGTCATTGGCCCAAGCTGATTTTCACAACAGATGTACATAAAACCCTGACAAAAGATTCCCATTAGATCTGTGCTCATACATACTTGTATTTGAAATTCTGAATTGCTACAAATTGTCATAGTATTAGAATATTCAGTGCTGTGGGTATTTGTACATATGACAAACAAGAACATATTCAGTCGTTGGTAGCTATCATATGATTGTAGATAACAATTAATTTGTATTCAATAATTTCACTCTGACTGTCTGACACAACTTTAAACAAAAGATGTTGATGAAACTGAAAACATAAATGAAGGAAGTGACAGCTAAAATCAAGAAAAGAGTCCCCAGTGACCAAAGATCAAGGCAGCCTGACACCACTGAAGACTGTATGGAAAATTGTGAAATCGCTTTAACCACTAGACTACCCCACCGCCCCTCCTTTATGAGTATCGTTACTAAATGCCATTCAGAGACATTAAGACTCACCTCCATGCTCGTACCACGAAATATATGATGACAATGCCTGTCACTCCTATTAAAACATACATAGTTCTGAGAAGCATGTCTTTGTTTTTTGTAATTTGTTCCATGACTTTGGTGAAATAACCGTTCCCGGTGCCTTTCGTGCAGTCTGTTGAATTCAGACATGTTTCATTTGCACTCGTCGTTGGTTTAGTTGTTGTTTTGGCATCTGCTACCTTCAGAGTGGTGGTTTCGTGCACAGCTACACTTTTCTTTGCCTCTGGAACGGATTTTCTGACGCTGTTCACATTCGTCTCTCCGGACAAAGATGCACAAGACACTTCAAGCAGGATTATAAGAACACTGATAATCAAAATCGTAGATTTCTCCATTTTGTACACTTAACACACGGTCACAAAGTATATAAATGTGCCTATCAACTGTCCATACGGCGGAATAACAGCATGATGCATGTACAATCACACGACTACACGTCAGGCGGAAGTGGCAGCAATGATTATGGAATCTTCGGTTAGTACTAAAATGAGGTAGTGCCCTTGGGCGTAAAACGAAAACGGATTAGTTTCCTTTAGATGTCTAAACTATCAGTTTGAAAATAATTGCCTGCCCCTTACATTGTTTCAGTTCTATCCCGTCAGTCTGACTACACAGACTTATTGTTTCCGCCCCTACCCACCCCAAACTAAGAAAAATATCGCCACCTTCATATTTTTGCAGTGTGGAAAGCAGACATAAAATCCTTAGATGTGAACTGCAGTAGGCTCCTGAATGAAAACAGAAGAACATGTAAGTGAGTGAGTGACTTTAGTTTTACGCCGCTTTTAGCAATATTCCAGCAATATCACGGCGGGGGACACCAGAAATGGGCTTCACACATTGTACCCATGTGGGGAATCGAACCCGGATCTTCGGCGCGACGAGCGAACGCTTTAACCACTACTCTACCCCACCGACCCCAGAACATGTAAGCACGCCTTTCTGACTTATATAAAAAAGAAACAAATGCGGTATTGTGGATAGTTCACGTATAATTTGAGACAACATATGTATCATATGTGAAATAAATAAATAAATAAATAAATAAATAAATAAATAAATAAATAAATAAATAAATAAATAAATAAATAAATAAATAAATAAATAAATAAATAAATAAATAAATAAATAAATAAATAAATAAATAAATAAATAAATGTTGTCCAAGCATCAGAAATACTTACATATTAAAGCAGAATACAGCAGAAGTACTTAAATACTATTAAACTAAAAATTTTGCTTATTCAAATTGTAGTTATGCAAGTTTCCATGTCATTTGGTCTTTTTCACATTTTTCTTTAAAATAGTATTTATAAATGGAGGTGTGTAACATTCTATTTTAGAACTAATAATTACTCCATGCACATTTCATGTGTGACGACATTGAATAGTAATATATGATCGGAATGCCTCTGAAACATTAGAGTTGTCTTCCAGTAATTACCTAAACTACACAGAGACAATGTCTCCATTGGACATTTGGCACAAGTTAATTCCAATATGATCTAAACAGGAGTTGTATGGACGACTGACCGCGTAGGTTCTTTTTAAAATCCGGTCAAATTCTATGAAGAATTTATCTTGTATCGCAGATGTGGTCAAATCCACAATTCCACAACTACTAACTCGTATATATTCAGGACATTGAAATGCATGACCCACTATAATTAAAGTTGTGTGTACCGTTGAACAACAATACAAACATCTCATTAAGTCTTTAGATCGTTGAGTAAATGAGAAAACAAACATCAAGCTGTGTGCGAAGGGTAATTATATACGTCTCTCCACATACGGCAAAGATTAACTACCTGAACTTTTTCGGCGAACATGTTAACATAATAATATCCTCAACAATGGTGACTAAATACTCGCTAGTGTGATTAAATTGCAGTTTGTTTTGCGGTTGGAAATATATTATTGGACCCAGATATTTTCGTGAATTCAAAACAATTATTTGGAATAGGGTCGGTTTCTTTCAAGTCGTGATTCCGACATGAGACCGTTTCTCTTAGAACTTTTTTGAACAGTGTCGTTTAATGTATTATCATGTGTTTATTTGCCATTTGTTGGTAATACGAATTAAAAAGAAGCAATTTTATTTTACTGGGTATACTGCAGTTGAGTCTAATAAGACTATTCAGAAAATCGTCTCAGATAAGTTGATTAACAATAAGGGACCGTTCATAATTTATGGCTAGGGGGGTGATGATGATTTTAAGGGGTGGTCACCCATTTTGTTCTAGTGAGGTGGTGGGGGTCCATCAATTTTGTACACATGCACTAAGGGTGGGTGGGTGGTCATCAATTTTGTACACAACATTATTAAAAAAATTATGCTTAAAAAATATGGGAAGGTGGGGGGGTCATTGATTTTGTACATGACATGCAGGGGGGTCACTTACTTTGTACATAAATTTTAGGTGGGGGTCACTCACATTGTACATGCTTCTCCATAAAACTCATCATCATCCCCCTAGCCATAAATTATGAACGGTCCCTAACATGCATTTTTCATTAACAGCGCAAAGAGGTGATATAGTGACAGTTGTCGTGGTCTGTTATGCAGAAATGTTCAAAATCATCTTGGCTCTACGGCGATTGATAAAACCCGTGTTAACGTGTGTGAGCGCTGAGATCACTTTGTCGAACGGGACCCACACATCAGATAAGGGGAATCCCCGAAAGTTCGTGTACTGTCGCTATCATGGAGTTACCTCCCCTTGTCAACAGTGAATTTCCGGAAGAACGATGGGGGAGTCGAGTGGCAGATTTTGCTATGTTTACAGTTGTGATGTAGATGTGAATGTTGAAATCAAAATGTAAATCTTTACTTCATTCTATCAATACACTTAACATGTTCCATTCAGGCACTGACCAGTGGTGAATGGTCCAGTGTTACCTTTTCCTTGGGCTCAGTTCACTGTTCGGTTTCAATTCACTTGTAAACAAATTCTAGATGATCTTTCTTATTCTGTCTGCATGAACATTTGACTTAAGTATTATGGACGTAATAATACAAATTTCAAGTATGAATTCATGAACACTTACATTACACGTCACCACTGAAAAATGACAAAATAATAATTGCCAGAGACAGTTATTCATATTCCACCAATTTTGGCTCATTGGTTCATGTTCATTTGGCTCATGTTTATTTCTCATAATCACTGTAACCTAAACATGAAATCATATATTACATACTGATGTGTGGAGCAAAGACCACCCCCTCCCCTCTTAAATTTAGCAGACGTCTTATATCAAATTTGTAGAATGTCAATATTAACTAAATGCATAGATTTGCTGCCTCGCAAAACCCGATCTCCTAGATAAGGACTCAAAAGTATTTACAGTCATGAAGTTTCAACAAGTGACTGTCAATGAATTAACCTACATGTCAATGTTCATTTACCCTGGGTCTGGTAAACTTTCCCAATAAACCTTTTACCCCAATCAGTAAATATACAACGTTTGTGACAAGAATTTCACATGACAATGATACACTTTCAGTGGCACGCTCGAGGGTCTGCGAGACAGACCAAGCTACAAGGAGTTGCTAGAGGATCCTATGCTGAAGTTTTCTGGAGCATATCAGGAGGGATGCTCTGACCTCTATGTGACGTGCCAGGTGTGTGCTGATGGCCGCCCCCTTGCCATGCCAGTCTCCACCTCCTATAAGGCCTTCAGCACACGCTGGAAGTAAGCAGCTTTGTTCAATGTTGAAATCAGATGTACATAAGAATGAACTGACACAATAGAACCTTTTTGGATTTATGACATATATTCTTCTCAATTTTCTTTACCAATGCTTCAAGCTACTTTTTGCCCCATTATTTACAAGATGCATTGAAATTTATGTTTTGATAATGTATTGCAATACATCAGTACCTATGACTCATGAGTTACTATTCATTTACTGTGCTATTCATTGTGGTCACAACACAGGTATTATTTTGTACTATGGCTGATTCAGGTAAATTATTGAACAAGGTACTCAAAGTAGCTTTACCAGATCCGACCCGGGTACCAGTTACAGCTTTATTTAGAGTTACTTCTCTCACTCACATAAATTTAATTACATGCAAGACTTACTCTAAACAGGTGTACATTCTCCAGATTGATGTTTTGTTGTTAAATATTTGAATTTGATATCTTTTTTCATTGAAACAAAAGTATATACAAAAATGAATTTGTTATTAAGATGCATAACCTCACTTACTTATGTTCACTTACATGGTTTATGACCACGAGACCAACATGACACCTATCATGTTATATTTTGTTAACTGAAATCCCTTGCGATTTCTTTTGTGAGCATATTATAACTATATTTTGTTGTCATGGTAATATATGTTCTTCCTTTTATATTGGAAATTCCAAGGATTAGTATGTTAGAATCTATTATACAGAAGCTATTGACTAAACTGATTGTTGTGGTGTTCATTCATGGATGAATTAAAATTGTTCAAATGGTTATCATCAGCATGGTCAGTGAAACTATGATAGGCTTCTATTGGTTGAGGAGTAAACACCCCTACCGAAATGCACAGCCATTGACAATGTAACTCAGAGCCATATATTATATAGAATATGAGCGATTTTATATTGCTCATTTTTTTATGATAGAAGGACATATGTATGCTGTAACTTTTGTTCATTATCATGTGCTATGGATTTTAGTGATGTATCAGACTTTTAGTTACACGTGACAAAACGGAACTAGTTCTTTTCAGGACCCAAATAGTGAAAGTTATTTACCCTACCTGGGTATTGGAGTAATTTGTCCCAATCCTAGTGCTTACCATAATGTTACGTGTGAATATATAGTGGATGTAGATCCTTGTACTTGGGAGGTGAAATCTTTGCCTTTACATGGTGTAAATGAATGTTTGCTAGTTAAGAAACGCAAGATTTATGGATGTCAACTTATTTATTGTGAAGAACACAGGAGCAAGCATACGTTATTCACAATAAAGAAGTTGACATCCATAAATCTTGCATTTCTTATACATTCCACTTGTAAATGCCATTCAAAGATTTATTTACAAGTTATCCAATTTTTATTTCCCAGTTGGAATGAGTGGATTCAGCTGCCTGTCAAATACAGCGATCTTCCAAGAAATGCCTTCCTATCATTTACTGTCTGGGACATTTATGGAACAAACAAAGCTCACCCAGTTGGTGGGACAACCATCTCTCTGTTCGGGAAGAGAGGGTAAGATGAACATGTCATCACTATAGGCAGCATTTAGGCCGATATTGGGCCTGGGGTGGCATCACCGTCATGCGAGAGGATAGTTCTGGGACAGTTCAAACGGGATATCCTTGTCACCACTATCTAACCTCACTGACATGGGTATTCATTTTGTATCGTTATGCTTCATTTACAAATGACATTAAGTGTACAATATACTGTCATCATGCTTATCATTGAGTAAATGTTGGCTTATCATTTCACATACCTGGTTGATTCAGCATAATTGTGATTAAAGGATGATTTTGGGTCAGTTTCAGTTATACTAAGATTGACATATTTTTGTTCACCCTATGTTGGGTATGACATTGTTATTAGTGTTGGGAATTGGTTGAAATCTCAGAAATGATGATTGCTTCATTACCAATGAACAATCATCGAAAAAGATTGGTTAGCGTCATTTTTCAGATTTTCCTATCCAGGTTATTATTGCAGATATGTATAACATGATGCAACTTGATATTCTAAAGTGATGTCTAATATATCATGAACATAAACTTCCTGGAGTCTTCAAGAAATATTCAGTCATGACTTTTCAGTTAGTTTAGTGAGTTTTCTAAGAATCAAACAAGTTTTCAGGCCCTGACAACTTCTATCATATGTTCCATCATCAAGTGTTTCAAAGACTAAAATAGCAGTTCCAAAATCGTTTGTGTTCGATTATGAGAAAATGTGATCGATTGCTTGGTCGTTTGGTCACTTCGACCAATCTTCGATTATTTCAATTAAACGGAACACCACTAATTGTTATACCAATACTTTACTTCGCACATGGGCCAATACACCACCAGTCTATCTCATGACAGGTCCCCATGTTGCAGCTTTTAGATTATTGGATCATACACCTAAAATATATTTGGTCACTGTTACATGTACATGTATGTGATAAGGTGGTGGGGTGACATTGGGTTAAATGTTGCATTCAAGATTATTGCACACATAGTGATGTTCATGCCTTTGTACTGGTCTAGACTAGCCCTGGTTTATGGTGCTAGCCCAGTGAGATACCACAGTACACTGACTCTGTGACAACCAGTGCTTGTTTTATACCCTTAATGACAAGTAACAAGTATGCTTTTTAAGATATTATGATACGATACAGTCAATGACCATACCACCGACCTTCACCTCGTCAGGCAGGTGCTCTACCCCCTAGATAATAGAGGCTACACATACCTGTACATGATGAAATAAATGACCTGTCAGAAGGATACATTTGATAAAATTACATTCAAATATTTGTGAGTTCATGTAATGAGCTTCGGTTGTGTATGACTTGAAGGTGTGGCCAACATATCCTTAATGATGAGACACACGCACGGACGCACGCACAGAGGCCAACCCGTACAAATGCTTGTTACCCTTGCTAGCTTCCTGCCCACTCACTCACTCACCATGATGGTGTGATTGGTTGCAGGACATTCCGCCAGGGCATGCATGACTTGAAGGTGTGGCCAAAGGTGGTGGCCGATATATCCTCAAAGATCACCACTCCAGGGAAGACCAAAGATGCCAATGATCAGATGAGTCGACTGGCTAAAGTAAGCACTTCTTGGTCTACATACTCAGTAGTTGCCGTGATCATTTAGAACAAATGTAATTTGGTTACATTAATTTATCAAACATTGGAAGAAGAAGAGAGGTTGAAACACTGCTTGACTCTGATTTCCACAATAAATATTTTTCTGGAATCTTGCATTTATTGTTCCTTTAATCCATGATAAGGTACAACAACAGTCCCATGAAAGCTGATCCTTAAGATAAACAGTTACCTCTGATTTTGACCTCATGTGTAAATGACCTGTGTAAATCATAGGCACATGCAGCTCTTGCTGCACCTCTGTATATTGGTTGGATCATGATATATAAGTATCCCCTATGATCCAAATGAAGGAAGTCTTCTGGATGAGGTCTGTAATTTGATCCTAAGTTCGAATAAGTTCTGTGATTGTTGTGAGAAATGTACTTTATTTCTTCTCTAGCTGAGCAAGAGACATCGAGATGGGCACATGGTGAAGGTTGACTGGTTGGATCGGCTGACGTTCCGAGAGATTGAGATGATTAACGAGAGGCAGAAGAGGGACTCCAACTTTATGTATCTTATGATTGAGTTCCCTCATGTCCACTATGAAAATACTCAGTTCTCAATCGTCTACTTTGAAAAGGTAAGACACTTTTGGGTGTATGTGTGTTGGCAATTAGGTGTCTCACGTTTATAGTGTGGGTTGGAATCAAGGATGGGACTCAAACCCTACCTTGTCCCCAACAGTACTAGAATCTGTAGAAGCCCAATTATAACATATGTGGTATTTGACATTTCTAAAAGGCATTGTGTATTCTTAGTGTTGTTGACCCGTGAAGATCCAGTTTAGAATTGATCTTCAGTAACCCATGCTTGTGTTAAGAGGCTGACCAACAGGATTGGGTGGTCAGGCTTGCTGACTTGTTGACACATGTTATTGTATCCCAGTTGCGTTGGTCGATGCTCATGCTATTGATCACTGGATTGTCTGGTTCAGACTCAATTATTTGCAGACCACCACCCTATAGCTTTAATATTGCTGAGTATGGCGTAGTACTAAACTCACTCACTCATAGTGTTGTTAATGTGTAAGTCAAATACTGCTAGTTGGTAGATGGTATTTTAGTGGTATGGTCTGATGGCCTACATCCAGAATTAAGAATGGAAACCTATCATGAACTAATTGTTTTGTATCTTTATCTTCTTATAAACCCAAATTGAATAGACCAAATAAGATCTTTTTGAAGCTTCCAGGTCAAGTTTACACTGCTTTGACAGTAGCCTGTAGCTACCTTGAAATATTATGTAAGAGGTTGAGCTTGAGGTGTAATTATCTCAGCTGTTACCACACATGAATGTCAATCAATTACTACATAAGCTGAACCATACTCCACTCTCACAAGACCTTGCTGGATCATGGATCACTCCACTGATAGCTGAAGATCTGGATCACTCCGACCTGATAAACAGGATGTTCAGCATCATTATTTTAGAATTCACAGTTATATGCTTGTGCCCTATATTTTTAAAACTGTATACAGTGCTGATTGTGGGAATACTTTGACATGATGGAGTTTTATTTGATGCAAGACCCTATTTTAATCTGGAGAAAAGTCCTGGTAAATTGATTTGTTGGGTATTCAGTGTGTTCAGATATTGATTTTATGTGAACAGGTTATTTTATTCTTAAGAGATGATGGAGGAGAGAATAGTATTGTAGAACTTAGGAAACAGTTCCATTTGTTATCATGAAATATTTCTACAGCTTTTTGAAGTTGGTAGTGACAAATAAGTTCATGGATTATGACATAGTTCTGATAGTATAGGGATTTTTCTGTATAGATTCTTGTAATATTTTATTGTCATTTTGCCATGACATTTTTGTAAGAATCTACACCAAAACTATGGCCCCCAACATGAAGGAAGAAGGAAGGAGCAGTCTGACGTGTTAGCTTGGCTCATTGTCAATATCATTATTTAACACTGAAGTAGTGAACTGTTTCAAATCTGATCTGCTTTTTTAAGTATATATTTTCTAACTATAACTTCTAGAAATTATTCAGTAGTGTTTAATAGGAATGCTGCAAGTAACTGGGTACCACATGCTGTAATATGTCCAGCCTGATTACTGCATGACTGTGATGTTATTGCAGGATGCGGACAGACCCTTCGAGTTTCGAACACAAGCGGAAATTGTCACAGTACCAGATCCAGAGATTCTCATGGTAAATATGTCAACAGTTAAACCTAAACTGTCACTAGCTTCATAATACATGTGATATGCTGGACATGGTATGGTGTAGTAGCAGGTTTTCAAGGTTTTGATAATTTACATGGAGAATTTATATACATAGTAGCCAAGTACTTGCTTGTCACTCCAAAGGCAGGAGTTCTAGTTTTCTAATATACTGGTAACCATTTTATGATAGATCAACTCACTTTTGTTTTCATAATGATTTGACATAAGACTTTCCACATTTAACTCGTGTAAGGTGCCTCAATTGTTGATTTAGAGTTGCTTCACTGATTTATTCCAGAAACCTTGGGTCATGGGATTATATCCCAGATTTGCAGTGACTGTGTTCTAGATTTGTTAGCACCATTATGATCATGTGCATGCTTATCAGCTTCCCGAAACTGGTAAATGTCTGAAATCTGGAACACTTCCTTCCCCTGAAATGTATGACTGAGAAACTGTCCATAGCAGCATCAGACCCAATTTACTCACTCCACTGATTACTACAAATGATACAGGAGAACCTGGTAGAGAGCAAGCACCACAAGCTGGCCAGGAGTCTGAGGAGTGGCCCCACTGACCGAGACATGAAGCCAGACGCCAAAACAAGGGACCATCTCAATGTAAGTCCTTATAGTGCTGTCTGATTACAATCTGCCTGATTGCTTGTATCATATACCCAAAGATGAACAATTAAGTGAACAATTTTTTTAAAACAAGGGACCATCTTAGTGTTAGTCACTTAGTGAACACATTCCTAAGACAGGGACCGTCTTAGTGTTGGTCATTTATTAAACATAATGCTAAGACAAGGGACCATCTTAGTGATGGTCATTTATTAAACATAATGCTAAGACAAGGGACCATCTTAGTGTTACTTATTTAGTGAAATCGTTGCTAAGACAAGGGACCATCTTAGTGTTAAGTGTTGTTTATTTAGTGAAGTGAAAATGTTGCTAAGACAAGGGACCATCTTAGTGTTGGTCATTTAGTGAAGAATAGTTGCATGTAGTGAAAATGTTGCTAAGACAAGGGACCATATTAGTGTTGGTCATTTAGTGAACATGTTGCTAAGACAAGGGACCATCTTAGTGTTACTTATTTAGTGAAAATGTTGCTAAGACAAGGGACCATCTTAGTGTTGGTCATTTAGTGAACATGTTGCTAAGACAAGGGACCATCTTAGTGTTACTTATTTAGTGAAAATGTTGCTTATTTAGTGAAAATGTTGCTAAGACAAGGGACCATATTAGTGTTGGTCATTTAGTGAACATGTTGCTAAGACAAGGGGCCGTCTTAGTGTTGGTCATGTAGTGAAAATGTTGCTAAGACAAGGGACCATATTAGTGTTACTTATTTAGTGAAATCGTTGCTAAGACAAGGGACCATCTTAGTGTTAGTCATTTAGGGAACATGTTGCTAAGACAAGGGACCATCTTAGTGTTACTTATTTAGTGAAAATGTTGCTAAGACAAGTCACCATCTTAGTGTTACTTATTTAGTGAAAATGTTGCTAAGACAAGGGACCATCTTAGTGTTACTTATTTAGTGAAAATGTTGCTAAGACAAGGGACCATCTTAGTGTTACTTATTTAGTTAAACAAGGGACCATCTTAGTGTTACTTATTTAGTTAAAATGTTGCTAAGACAAGGGACCATATTAGTGTTGGTCATTTAGTGAACATACTGCTTAAGGCAAGGGACCATCTTAGTGTTGGCCAGTTAGTAAACACATTGTTAAGACAAGGGATGATGATCATGTTAATCATTTGGGTTTGTTATGGCTGACTGTTTTATTTGGAAAAGTTGTGCTATGATTGTGTAAACAGGTCCAGGCCCACTGGCACAAAGCGATCTTAGTGCTACGATGATCGTAACTCCAATACTCTTTCCTAGATTTAAGATAGCCATAGCGTTGAGATAGCTTTGGACAAGTGGTCCCAGGCCGTTTACATTAGTGATTTAGTTCTATGAACTTAAGACTAGTATTATGGTTAGTGAATGCCCTTGTGGTATGAAATCCATCAACATATATATGGGTATTTGTATGGTCTGTCATATCTTGTATTGAGGTATGGACAGTGTGCAAGTTTGTTTTCCTCATGTCTTTTAACAATAATGTTCCTTTCCCAGACCATTGTCAGCTACCCACCAACGAAGCAACTGACGTCAGAGGAGCAAGACTTGCTATGGAAGTTTCGCTTCTATCTCTCCAGCCAGAAACAGGTGAAACTGACTACCCTTTGTCCTGAAAGACAAAGCATGGAACACAGGCTTTGTGTAATACATACCACCCGTGGAAATCCTGGAATAAATGGGAGGCTCATGGTTATTGCCAGACTCTCCAAGCTAAAAACCACTACCAAACTACTCTGGAGCTTACAACATTAATTGGTTCGGTGGGATAGCCTAGTGGTTAAAGTGTCTGCTTGTCATGCTGAAGACCTGGGTTCGAATCCCCACATGGGTACAATGTGTGAAGCCCATTTCTGGTGTCCCCAACTGTGATATTGCTGGAATATTGCTAAAAGCGATGTAAAACCATACTCACTCATTCACTACAAAATTAATTCTGTTGAAAACTGTAGGAACGACACATACAGATTTTGATTGAATCTTGTTGTACAAATCTAGATGTCTGCTGATACCTGAAATGTCAGAAAGTCTCAGTATTGTCTGAAATATCGATATTGTACAATTTAAGAAACATGGGCTGTGGATTTATATCTTATGACTACCCTTGCTAAAGCCGGAAGTTCTTCTTTTCAGGCTTTGACAAAGTTTCTGAAATGTGTGAACTGGTCTACGGCTCAGGAGGCAAGGCAGGCACTAGATCTGTTGTCCAAATGGCAGCCAATGGATGCTGAAGATGCTCTGGAGCTTCTCACTCCGGCCTTTACACATCCCACTGTCAGGAAGTATGCAGTCACCAGGCTCCGGCAAGCTGATGACGAGGTAAGTATCAGGTTACAATAGCCTTCTCACATCCCACTGTCACGATGTAACTCCAGTATATACATCATCAGACAAACTGACACCGTGTATGTTTGAATCTAGGATCTGTTGTCCCACCACAGACTAACCCCATCATTGTCTCACCACAGACTAACCCCATCATTGTCTCACCACAAACTGAACCCATCATTGTCTCACCACAGATTAACCCCATCATTGTCTGACCACAGACTAACCGCATCATTGTCTGACCACAGACTAATCCCATCATTGTCTGACCACAGACTAACCCCATCATTGTCTGACCACAGACTGACCCCATCATTGTCTCACCACAGACTAACCCCATCATTGTCTGATCACAGACTAACCCCATCATTGTCTCACCACAGACTGACCCCATCATTGTCTCACCACAGACTGACCCCATCATTGTCTCACCACAGACTAACCCCATCATTGTCTCACCACAGACTAAACCAAGCATTGTCTCACCACAGACTAACCCCATCATTGTCTCACCACAGATTAACCCCATCATTGTCTCACCACAGACTAACCCCATCATTGTCTCACCACAGACTAAACCAAGCATTGTCTCACCACAGACTAACCCCATCATTGTCTCACCACAGATTAACCCCATCATTGTCTCACCACAGACTAACCCCATCATTGTCTCACCACAGACTAACCCCAATCATTGTCTCACCACAGATTAACCCCATCATTGTCTCACCACAGATTAACCCCATCATTGTCTCACCACAGACTAACCCCATCATTGTCTCACCACAGACTAACCCCATCATTGTCTCACCACAGATTAACCCCATCATTGTCTCACCACAGACTAACCTCATCATTGTCTCACCACAGACTGACCCCATCATTGTCTCACCACGGACTAACCACATCATTGACTCACCATAAACTGACCTTGTGTCTCAGCACTACTGACCATCTGTTTGTACTACCTAGGATCTGTTGCTGTACCTACTCCAGCTAGTTCAGGCCCTAAAGTATGAGAACTTCGACGAGATAAAGGAGGGCATGGATACTCCTCCTCCACAAAGAGAGTCAGCCCCATCACCAGAAACACCTTCCAGCTCCTCAGAAAAAGAAAGGTCAGCCTATACAGCTAACATGAGGCCTGGTGTTTGATTGGTTTAGGTTTACATCTGAAGGTGATGTTGGACGACTGGTGTTTATTATTCCACTCAGATGACCAGTCCTTGTTTTGTACTCTTTATGCTGAGGACCATGTGCATGTAGTTATGGAATGCTGTATCAGGATGTAGGTATGGATCTATAATGACAGGTAATCAAGTGACTATCTCTCATTGTAGGAGGCTAGTATTGATTAACTAGATTAATGGACTAATAGTTTCAACATTTCTTGTTCATGAAACAGGTGTAATGTTTTGTTTTAGTCGATCAATGAGCACATTATCAAGAGCGTCTTCCCATGATTCCATCCTTGATGCTCTGGGAACATCCCCGCCCGGGAAGGAAGAGACTCCCGAGAACAAACTTGCTAAAGAGGTGAGTTGTCTCCCTTGTGACACACTGGAGCTGTTTCTATTTGTTGTTTAGGGACACATTCAACAATCCTGTTAATGATGGTGTTCTGTCAATAAGCCAATCTGGACACAGTCCAGTGATAGACTTCATAGATCTTTACAGTGGGGATATGATAGCATACATCAACCAAGACGGAGAGAGGCTGAGCATCCAGTCTCATTAGTTGTCTTACGATAGGAATAGGATGCTGAAGATGGGTGAGGCGACTAACAAACTATATCATATGTCTATTAAACCTTTTTTGTTTTAGATGGATCTTGCAACCTTTCTCATATGGAAGGCTTGTAATAATTCTACCATTGCCAACTATTTTTACTGGTGAGTAATATCTGGACCTCATCTTTTATGATCATAATACACATATATAATTCTGAAAATCTCTGTATACACTCTTTTGTGAACCTTTTTTTGCTCACAATGTTATTTCTAATTATTAGGGCAGTTGTTTGGACTCAAGGAAGTCAGATAACCTGCAATTTGAAAGTCTTCTCATGATGTTCATGTTCAGTACTGTTGGTCAGGGTTAGGGCTGTAACGAATACACTATGTGGCGAATATGATACGTATCACGAATATTGGGTAACGAATACAAATAATTATTTATGAATACAATATTGAAGTTAAGTGATTGATGCACAATATTGAATGCCCATGTTGACAGTGTTAATTTGTCACAGCAATAACCAGTGATCTCATGACACTCAAATTTGGTATCTAATAGTTATAGCTGACAGTAACATGTGCGGCCTTGGAAAACTAACATGACTTGCGGTACTACAAGGCTAGTACATATTTCATTCTTGCATATCTCATTTTGAAAAAGGACATAAGGGTTCAAGTAAAACGGACACCTTTAAAAAAATTGTAAATATTCATGAATATTCGGTTCTGGTGGCCACGAATAACAAATTGAATTCATGAAGGGCTACGGTTCGATTCACTGAATATGCGAGTGAATCGTAACAGCCTTAGTCAGGGTGAAGCCGTTTTCACTCAGATATGAAATAGACATAAAGTGACAACTATGTGTCTGTGCAGGTATGTGTTGGTGGAGTGTGACAACTATGTGTCTGTGCAGGTACTTGTTGGTGGAGTGTGAGGACCAGGAAGTATCAACCAAGGACAGTGCTCTGCGAGAGATGTACATCACAGTCATGAAGAGGTTCAGTAAAGCCCTCAGCAAGGTAGGTCAAGTCAGCTAGCGAGTGTGTTGGGTTTGATGCTGCTTGGAACATTCTTTCAGTCTTTTGTGACAGCTGAATATGGATGGAAAGACCAAATTGATAACCACTTTTGTGAAACCCATGAAGGTACAGTGCTGTCCAAACAAGAATCATTATCATTTCAGTATCCAATCCAAACTCATGATCATCAAATTCTGACATCTCTGAGGGTCACAACGCGGCTGATAAATTGTAACCATGGAAACTGGGCCCGTCAAACCCACCATATCCATTGAAACATTTTAGTTATGAAACATATTATGAAAAGCCAAAGTGTTAACACATAATGGATATTGTCATAAGGAGCATTTTGTCATCATATGTTTCTTTAGGATTTCATTGCAACAAAATAATTAACTGTTGTTCAGGGAGGCCAGGAGTGTCGACTGCGGCGGTCAAGTCTGGCCGAGCAACAGTTGTTCATCAGTAAGCTGGTGGACCTGGTGAAGCTAGTGGCACGGGAGAGTGGAAACAGGAAGAAGAAGGTACGCACAGGAAGTAGCAGCCATCTTGAATTATTCATAGGATGTAGTAGCCTGTAAATAGACAAATCTGGACCAGACAAACCAGTGACTTATATTCTGTCACACCCCACACCATAGGTGTATGATAATTTCATTTAGTCACAGAGCCAAACCATTTAATTCATCAAGTTGCTTCATACAACAAATATAGGCTGATAAGGACCAAGTCTTGCATGGGTTTTGAATTGGATTAGGTGTAGATTAGTAGTCAGACTCTTTATGACTAAGCATGCTTGAATGATTTTCAGATTGAAAGACTACAGGCATTGTTACAAGATCCAGAGGTTTGCAAGAGGAACTTTGCTGAGTTTGATGTTCTTCCTTTACCCCTCGACCCTGAGGTCAAGGTCAGGGGCATCATACCTGAGAAGGCCACATTGTTCAAGGTGAGCACAAAAACTATCATTCTATCTTAAACTTGGCATTTGAAGAAAAACACATTTATCACTTACTGGAAGGAAGGTACAGTATATTAAGGTACAAAAGGAAAATTTACTAATTTCCTATCTGCTTGTATTGGGTTGTATTGGTGGTATTAGTGTTGTGGGTTGTATTGGTCTTATAGTTGTATGGGTTGTAATGGTGTTATGGGTTGTATTGGTGTTATGGGTTGTATTGGTGTTATGGGTTGTATTGGTGTTATGGGTTGTAATGGTGTTATGGGTTGTAATGGTGTTATGGGTTGTAATGGTGTTATGGGTTGTATTGGTGTTATGGGTTGTAATGGTGTTATGGGTTGTATTGGTGTTATGGGTTGTATTGGTGTTATGGGTTGTAATTGTGTTATGGGTTGTATTGGTGTTATGGGTTGTAATGGTGTTATGGGTTGTATTGGTGTTATGGGTTGTAATGGTGTTATGGGTTGTAATGGTGTCATGGGTTGTATTGGTGTTATGGGTTGTATTGGTGTTATGGGTTGTATTGGTGTTATGGGTTGTATGAGTGTTGTGAATTGTATAGGTTGTATTGGTGTTATGGGTTGTATTGGTGTTATGGGTTGTATTTGTTATGGGTTGTATTGGTGTTATGGGTTGTATTTGTTATGGGTTGTATTGGTGTTATGGGTTGTATTGGTGTTATGGGTTGTATTGGTGTTATGGGTTGTAATGGTGTTATGGGTTGTAATGGTGTTATGGGTTGTATTTGATATGGGTTGTAATGGTGTTATGGGTTGTATTGGTGTTATGGGTTGTATTGGTGTTATGGGTTGTATTGGTGTTATGGGTTGTAATGGTGTTATGGGTTGTATTGGTGTTATGGGTTGTAATGGTGTTATAGGTTGTATTGTGTTATGGAGTTTATGGGTTTGTAATGGTGTTATGGGTTGTATTGGTGTTATGGGTTGTATTGATGTTATGGGTTGTATGGTGTTATGGGTTGTATTGGAGTTATGGGTTGTATTGGTGTTATGGGTTGTATTTTGTTATGGGTTGTATTGTATTTGTTATGGGTTTGATGTTATAGGTTGTATTTGTTATGGGGTTGTGTTGGTGTTATGGGTTGTATTGGTGTTATGGGTTGTATTGTATTGGTGTTGTGGGTTGTATGAGTGTTATGGGTTGTGTTGGTGTTATAGGGTTGTGTTGGTGTTATGGGTTGTATTGGTGTTATGGGTTGTGTTGGTGTTATGGGTTTTTCTTATCCTGACTCATGCTTATTTGCTTGTCTTCTTCTTCTGGCGAACCTAGTGGAACACTTGTATCTCCCAATTGAAGTTCCCTTCAATAAAAATCACTCATTAGTACTCACCACGAAGTTACCTCCCTTCTGCAAACGAGGGCGCCACCCAAGCCCATGTGCCTCACTCTCTCCTTCTTCGCCCAGTGAGCTGGACGTGAGAGCGCCTGTGTCTCCCAACACACTATATCCTTTATTTATATTTAGTTAGTTCCTCTTATACGTTAGTATAGAGGTATTACTAGTATATTTATTCAATTTGCATTGATTATTAATTGTGTTTCTGCTGTTTATTCACGCTTCGCCGTGATTGTTCAGTAGGCTACATTAATGAAAATTTGCACAGATTGTAAACTACGTTATTCTGATACCGATCCACATTTAAAATGCCCTAGTTGCATTACTCCATGTTCCTTTGATTCTCGTTGTAAATTGTGTATCAATTTACCAATCTCTGCCTTTGACAAATATTTATGTTCCGTTTATAGACGGAAGGCAGATAAATCTCGTAAACAGATTTCAAACATGGCTAATAGATCGCAAATTAATGTTCCTTGTCAACTGTTGATTGAGGACACGCCACCGGCTGGTGGCATGCCTGAGTTTCCCTCGGCGGATAAGCGTGGGACGCAGTCCGCTATGTCCAAGAAGCGACCTGCATCTCAAGAGCTGCCGTCTTCTCAGTCCAAGTCGAGGAAACCAGCCGTATCATCTCGTACACTGCGTACACCAAGATCTACACCTTCATCTAAAGGGAAGTCAACAAAATCTAATAATTTTGCCTCTGATATCTTACCAGTTACAGAATTAGCATTATATGATGATGATATGCCAATTATCATTCCAGAAGTTCGTCACAAGAAACGGCCCGTTTCTGCGACTGTCACCTCAGCGCAGATGAACACACAACCGGACATGCCGACACTATCACCAGAAATTTTATCTGAGGGTCCCCACCTCTGCAGAGAGACATCCCTCATCAAAGCAGACCGCTTCAGACGACTTGATCAACCAGATAATCAGGGTGATGGAAGATCGCTACGGCTTACAGAGGCCTCAGAGCCACGGGCCTCAGAGCCCACCCCATATTAAGTCATACAGGGCCTCAGAGCCCGCCTTTGGCTTTCGTAGGGCCTCTGAGCCCATAGACGCGCCCGCGAAGGGCAACCCTGCCCGAGTGAGCTCTTTGCATAAGGTATCCCAGGCCAGCCCGCCAAGGAGCTAGAGCCTCACCTTTTGCAAGAGGCTTTCATGGAGAAGGAGCGCTTCGCTGAGCACGCACCTTGTCATGCACGGGGCGCTTCGCAAAGCAAGCCATATGTCGGATCGACACTGACTCCAGACATTCGCGCGTAGGGACGCGAAGGCTAAGTGGTTCTACATCGCCTAGAAGGCGCTCGCGTAGCCCCTCAACGCTCGAGAAGTCCAGAGATGCCTGGCGGTTATCACCGCTCACGGAAGCCCACAGTCTCCGCAAGGATGTCTTCCAAGGTCTACATACACTAGCCACTGGCCAGTCCGTTTCTCCTCAGTCCTCACATAGATCTTCTTACAGATCGAGGACTCGACATACCACCATACGCCAGAGGAGGACGATGGTATCATTTTCTCAGAGGCTGAGATAAGGTATTGGATGGTAAACGATTACAACTGGCCTCCCTTCTAAGAACGAGGATGCAGCCCAAACTTACCTGATGAAAGATGATGATGTAGATCATATCACCGTGCCTCCTATGGATCCTATCGCAGCCGCTCCTGCTAAACTGGATACAGCCTACTCCAAATCTACTAAAACCCATCCTACCCATTTACCGCTCTTCAATGCCAAGAGTTTTATGGACATAATATGGAGCCCTTTTCAAGACTCAGGAGATTGATGAAAACTTTAAACTTATCAGTGATTCCAAGTCCAGAAGTTATAGGGTAGACGATCACAAGATGGCCCAGTTAGATACCATTTCCAGAAGGATGTTCTTCGGACTTAATAGATCTAGGACTATTAACGAGACTCTCATCACTAAGTTCAAGAACTCTACGGATGAGGAGGACAGGATGATCTATTCAGCTCTACTTATGCAGAGAAAAGATCAACAATTCCTTACAGACCATCTTTCAGCACTTACTGAAACTACTACCATGACACGTCGGCAAGGATTACTAGCCTCCTGCTCTTGGAATAAACAATTCACAGAGCCCCTGTACACAGCTCCATGGTCTTCACCTTTACTGTTTGGTGGCAACATTAACAAGGTTTCCAAGGAAGTATCTAAAGATTCTAGAGAAGTACTCATGATTAGATCGATGGATATGTTAGCGAACGTCTTTAAACAATCAGCACAGAGGTACTCGGGTAAGTCTAAGTTTTCAGGGCTACAGAGAGCACGGGATAAGAAATTAGCGGCCGCTAATAATCCCAAGGATTCTTTTCGTCGCCCATGTACAACAAGTTCAGAGGAGGATCAGCTAGAGGCAGATCATCCAGAGGTGCCCGTGGATTTAAACGATGAAAGTCAGGTTCGAACGACTGGAGTCTTCCACCCCAGTCGCCCCAGTACAACCTTCTCAAGTGGGTGGACGCCTACAACTACACTGGGAAAACTGGGGAATACTTCAAGATCCGTATGTATCCAACATCCTTCAGTACGGATATCGCCTACAACTCAAGGCCAAGCCACCGCTAACAGTCAACCCACCAGGGTTCAACGCTCATCTGGCACAACTACCGATGTTAAGAGAAACAGTTCAGTCTCTACTAAACAAACAGGCCTTTAGAAGTTCTCGATCAGCTTAAACATCATACCAGGTTTCTACTCCCCAGTTTTCCTAGTGCCGAAAAAGAATTCCAAAGAGAAGTATCGCCTCATTTACAACATGAGCACATTCAACAGAGAATTTCTATGCAAACCACCAGCGCGCAGATGATACATTTACCTCAACTCCGCCATCTGATTCGGCCCACTAGATTACATGGTAAGTATAGATCTGCAGGACGATACCTACACATTCGATTCATCCCAGTTCAAGGAAATATCTGAGGTTTATGCTAGACGGCATACACTACCAATGGAAAGTACTTCCCTTCGAATCACTTCGCCCCATGGGTATTCACAAGAGTAACCAAGCCTATTGTCTCATACCTACATCGCCAAGGACTCATGGAATGCATTTTACCTAGACGACGGTATACAGGTGGATCTAGATCCACAGCGCCTCAGACTACAGCTGAACTTTATAATCAAGCTACTAACGCAGTTAGGCTGGTTAGTAAATCTACTCAAGTCGGACCTAGAGCCCACGAGGATCTGCAGTTTCTAGGTATACGATTCCTTACAGCTCAGAATCGTATGGTAGTCCCGAGGACAGATGGATCAAGATACAACAACTGATCCCCAAGCCCTACTCTCTCCGCTACCACTCACGACAGTGGCAGAGTCTACTGGGACTACTCACATCAGCTCAAGACTTGACACTCAGAGGCAAGCTTCAATTGCGTCCATTACAAGTCCTCATCAATGCCCATCTCGAGGACCCTCTACCGTTCAGTCTACCAGATTACGTCAAACCACATCTACTCTGGTGGACCAAGAGATTGAATGTTTGCGCAGGCGTCTCCTTAGTAGAGCCGGAATCGAAAACACATCTCTACGTGGACGCGTCACTAAAAGGTTGGGGAGCCCACCTTACCGGCAGGACAGCGTCAGGCCTATGGAGCATTCAAGAGAGCTTATGTCACATAAATCTGCTAGAGATGCAAGCAGTCATAAACGCCATAGGTCACTGGAGCAACCTGTTACAGAACGCTCAGTTAATGATTCACACAGACAACTCAACAGTGGCGTTTTATGTGAACAAACAAGGGTCAACAAGATCACTGAATCTACTCACTCGATGTTTCAGACTGTTCGAATTAGTCGACAGTCTAAACATACGTATCAAAGCCTGCCACATTCCAGGAGCAAAGAATGTGTTAGCAGACGCTCTCTCTCGGCCGCACCAACCGTCGCCGACAGAATGGATGCTCCACACAGAGATATTCAATCAGATAATCATGGAAATAGGATCTCCTCTGATAGACCTATTTGCCACCCGATTCAACAATCAACTGACAACCTTCGTATCGCCAGTGCCAGATCCATTAGCCTGGGCAACGGACGCACTAAGCATATCGTGGGAGGGACTAAACGCATACGCTTTCCCGCCTCCTGCGTTAATCCCACAAGTCTTGCTAAAAATCAGTCAAACGAAGAGCCTCGATCTCATTTTGGTCTCGCCTTACTGGCCAGCGAGAACGTGGTTTCCAGACCTCATACTAGGAATCGGAAAACCAGTACTTCAGCTCCCACTACGCTCCAATCTACTGATACATCCGCACACCAAACAAGTGCACAAAACACCAGAAGCATTCCGACTTCACGCGGTGGATTGTATCAAGGCATGTTTGAATAAGAGAGGTTATTCCACCAGAGCGGCTAAGGCGGTCACGCTTTGCACTACGTAACTCTACTCGTAACTTGTAACGATGACAAATGGCTCAGATTTGTCAATTATGCTGCTAAGAAAGGATTTTCAGCCAGATTTGCTACACATCCTCAAGTGGCAGATTTCTTATGTTTCCTACGTCAAACTAAGAATCTAAAAGGATCTACACTGTCCACTTATCTTGCAGCCATAAGTTCAGTCATAACTATGAGAACGGGCGTCAAATTGACTAAAACACCGGAGTTACTCGCTTTGTTACGTGCCTTTCGATTGGAAGACCAGAAACGGAAGTTTCAAGCGCCAGCCTGGGATCTAAATGTTGTACTTCAACACCTCACAAGTGAGGCTTACGAGCCATTGTTATCTGCGTCATTTCAATCATTGACCCACAAAACCTTATTCCTGCTAGCGTTAGCCACTGCCGCCAGGATGTCTGAAATTCACGCTTTGGATTACGAGAGAACACGATTTGATGATATTCATAACATCGCTCATCTGGGACTTCGCTGGGATTTTATAGCGAAAAATCAACTACCAGGTCAACCAGACAGGTTGTTCCATGTCCCAGCTCTCTCATCCATACTTGGACCGCAGGATACGATGGACTTATCACTTTGCCCTGTACGTGCACTGAAAATATATCTCCAAAGATCCAAGCAAAGTAGAGGGAAATTCAAAAGATTGTTTATCCCTATATCTACCGCCTCACAGACAGAAGTGTCGCGCACTACCATTTCTATTTGGATCAGAACTGTCATACTAAGAGCCTACAAGGCAGCTGGACTGGACCCTCCAAGTGCTGCTAATCCTCACGAAATTAGAGCACTAGCTTCAACTTTGGCTTTACATGGAAATTGCTCATTGAATACCATTATGGAGGGATGTTTTTGGAGATCCGATATGGTGTTTGCCAACCACTATCTGAGAGATATCACCACCAAGGACGTCTCAGGTATCCACCATTTCGGTCCCATGGTCCTTGCTCAACAGTTGACAGTTCCACGGAGAAGATAAGTCTATCTTGTTGATTTTATACTTATCTGATAACAGTACTAATAGCTACATGCTATCTATATATATTTGCTTAAGTTAAAATATTATCTTAAGCTCAGTACTATGATTCTATATCATAATATATATATACCTACAACTCTTACGAGTTTCTACTATTATATATATGTTCAGCTTAAGTTTCTATCCTTAAGCTCGGTCATATGTTCATTTCATAACATGTATTAGTATCAAACTCTCAGTAGTTGGTTACTATTATACAGCTTAAGTTATCATTATATCTTAAGCACAATTATGTTATAGCTTATATATATCCATATTGTAAGCTTACTACTTTGGTTCTTATAAAAGTATTCATTATAAACTATCAACAGTTTATACTATCACATTAATGGCTTTAGCTTAATTAATGTTCTATATACTTTTATTATATTCAGTAAATTGTAATAACCTTCTTTTAAAGGCAGCTGTTAAATTAACAGCAGGAATTCAGTTCAGTGCCTTCATGAAGTTCCCATAGGGTTTTACAATCATCTCAGTTCAAATCACTAATTAGTAAAATCCAAAGTATATATAATCCCACCTCCTAATCCGTAGGATTCTACAAGCAAATAAGCATGAGTCAGGATAAGAAAAAATATGAAATTTTTAGAGTAAAATTAATATTTTTATACTTATCCTGACTCATGAGGTAAGCCCTCCCGTCCTCCCCACTTAACACTTTGGATTTCTCGGGAAAAATAAAGTGTTGGGCTCAAAACAAAAAAGGAGAGAGTGAGGCACATGGGCTTGGGTGGCGCCCTCGTTCCCGCGCTTGCAGAAGGGAGGTAACTCGTGGTGAGTACTAATGAGTGATTTTTTATTGAAGGGAACTTCAATTGGGAGATACAAGTGTTCCACTAGGTTCGCCAGAAGAAGAAGACAAGCAAATAAGCATGAGTCAGGATAAGTATAAAAATATTAATTTTACTCTAAAAATTTCATATGAAACAAACGAAAATAACAACATTTTGTGAGTTGAGAAATGGTCACTCAGAGCCAGAGACTCTACTGTAAGTCTAGATAAAAATATGGTCCATTTGAGGCAACTTAATTCCTCCAAGTGAAACCATTCAAAATCACAAAACATAAAGCATTTGGTAGAATATTTGGTACTTTTGGAGCCACTTGTAATGACACTTCCACTTGTAAAATTATACATGAAACCAACAGAAATGAAAGTGTATTTGGCACTTATAGAGCACATTGTTTTTGTCATGGAAATCAAGGGCAGATAATTCAAAGGAAGATAACGGTTGGTGACCCAGAATCTGAACCATATCGCGATAATCGTATCGCCAGATACAGTACCGGTATATACCGGTTTACCGGTAATATTGCACAGCCCTATCCTTTATACTCTCAGTGTATAAACATCCTTAAGATTTTTTAGCACCCCTTGTCCCACAATAAGTTGCATTGTTATAAATGAAACTGATTCAAAGCAGCCCTACCCAACTCACTTGTTCTGTTCCAGCTGTTGCGAAGAGAGAATCTAGATCTCAAGCTGTCTCCCTACAAGGTCCTGGCCACCAGCAGTAAACACGGTACCTTCTTGCTTTCACTGATATATGCACATGTTCATTTCTCTCAGCTCAACTCATCATTGTTTTGTATATATTTTGACATTGTTGACTTTGCTGGAATTTAGATTTTCTACATCAGGCAATTCTGTCTTTGAGGATTTATAAACTGATGTGGTCATTTGCCTATGTGCAAGAGACATCCACAGATGACATTCTTACCATGTCAGCTTGGTGACAAGGTTAACTTCTTTGGTCATGTGGACAAGAAGTCCGACTGACTATCAAGCTCCTTGGCTTGAATGCCAAGAAAGGAATTGGAAATTATTTGGCACCAAATTGGCGCCTACTGTTTTAAACATTGTTTTTTATTTAAAATTTTTTAAGGTAGGTTTGTTATTAGAATTAAGGCAAACATTGGTTGCTCCTTAGTATTGTATTTATCAAGTGGGATTTCTTCTCCTTGCGGGGCGTTGGGGTAGTCTAGTGGTTAAAGCGTTGGTTCGTCACACCGAAGACCTGGGTTCGAATCCCTACATGGGTACAATGAGTGAAGCCCATTTCTGATGTCCCCCGCCGTGATATTGCTGGAATATTGCTAAAAGCGGCGTGAAACCAAACTCTGTTAGTTAGTCAGTTAGTTCTTCTCCTTGCTGTTTCCTCAGGTTTTGTACAGTTCATTGAGTCAACATCAGTAGCCGAGGTGCTGGCGTCTGAGGGTACAATACAGAACTACTTCAAGAAACATGCCCCGTCAGAGAATGGGCCATATGGCATCCAGCCAGAGGTCATGGATAATTATGTCAAGAGTTGTGGTAAGGAGTGAAGTGAAGTACAGAACTGCGTATAACTCAACATATATCCCTTGCTCTTGAAAGTTTACATGGTTCACAGGAACATTACCATTAATTGGGAATTATTCTGTTTACTGTCTCACATCAAATATCCGGAGACACAACTTTGGTAGTAGTGGTAGATATTAATGATTTTACTAAAGTTGAACAAGTGCACCTTTAGCAGAATTATCTCCCTTCCATATGGATTCCAAGGAGGTTGTAGTTTACCGTCTAACAGACAAAGGAATACAATTTGGTTTCAGATCAGTCTTAGTAACTAGTGTCTGTTGAACGATGAATCAGTAGAGTGTATGTGTGTCCTGTTTCTTAACTAGTGTCTGTTGAACGATGAATCAGTAGAGTGTATGTGTGTCCTGTTTCTTAACTAGTGTCTGTTGAACGATGAATCAGTAGAGTGTATGTGTGTCCTGTTTCTTAACTAGTGTCTGTTGAACGATGAATCAGTAGAGTGTATGTGTGTCCTGTTTCTTAACTAGTGTCTGTTGAACGATGAATCAGTAGAGTGTATGTGTGTCCTGTTTCTTAACTAGTGTCTGTTGAACGATGAATCAGTAGAGTGTATGTGTGTCCTGTTTCTTAACTAGTGTCTGTTGGACGATGAATCAGTAGAGTGTATGTGTGTCCTGTTTCTTAACTAGTGTCTGTTGAACGATGAATCAGTAGAGTGTATGTGTGTCCTGTTTCTTAACTAGTGTCTGTTGAACGCATGAATCAGTAGAGTGTATGTGTGTCCTGTTTCTTAACTAGTGTCTGTTGAACGATGAATCAGTAGAGTGTATGTGTGTCCTGTTTCTTAACTAGTGTCTGTTGAACGATGAATCAGTAGAGTGTATGTGTGTCCTGTTTCTTAACTAGTGTCTGTTGAACGATGAATCAGTAGAGTGTATGTGTGTCCTGTTTCTGAACTAGTGTCTGTTGAACGATGAATCAGTAGAGTGTATGTGTGTCCTGTTTGTTAACTAGTGTCTGTTGAACGATGAATCAGTAGAGTGTATCCTGTTTCTTAACTAGTGTCTGTTGAACGATGAATCAGTAGAGTGTATGTGTGTCCTGTTTCTTAACTAGTGTCTGTTGAACGATGAATCAGTAGAGTGTATGTGTGTCCTGTTTCTTAACTAGTGTCTGTTGAACGATGAATCAGTAGAGTGTATGTGTGTCCTGTTTGTTAACTAGTGTCTGTTGAACGATGAATCAGTAGAGTGTATGTGTGTCCTGTTTCTTAACTAGTGTCTGTTGAGCGATGAATCAGTAGAGTGTATGTGTGTCCTGTTTCTTAACTAGTGTCTGTTGAACGATGAATCAGTAGAGTGTATGTGTGTCCTGTTTCTTAACTAGTGTCTGTTGAACGATGAATCAGTAGAGTGTATGTGTGTCCTGTTTCTTAACTAGTGTCTGTTGAACGATGAATCAGTAGAGTGTATGTGTGTCCTGTTTCTTAACTAGTGTCTGTTGAACGATGAATCAGTAGAGTGTATGTGTGTCCTGTTTCTTAACTAGTGTCTGTTGGACGATGAATCAGTAGAGTGTATGTGTGTCCTGTTTCTTAACTAGTGTCTGTTGAACGCATGAATCAGTAGAGTGTATGTGTGTCCTGTTTCTTAACTAGTGTCTGTTGAAGCGATGAATCAGTAGAGTGTATGTGTGTCCTGTTTGTTAACTAGTGTCTGTTGAACGATGAATCAGTAGAGTGTATGTGTGTCCTGTTTCTTAACTAGTGTCTGTTGGACGATGAATCAGTAGAGTGTATGTGTGTCCTGTTTCTTAACTAGTGTCTGTTGAAGCGATGAATCAGTAGAGTGTATGTGTGTCCTGTTTCTTAACTAGTGTCTGTTGAACGATGAATCAGTAGAGTGTATGTGTGTCCTGTTTCTTAACTAGTGTCTGTTGAACGATGAATCAGTAGAGTGTATGTGTGTCCTGTTTGTTCACTAGTGTCTGTTGAACGATGAATCAGTAGAGTGTATGTGTGTCCTGTTTCTTAACTAGTGTCTGTTGGAACGATGAATCAGTAGAGTGTATGTGTGTCCTGTTTCTTAACTAGTGTCTGTTGGACGATGAATCAGTAGAGTGTATGTGTGTCCTGTTTCTTAACTAGTGTCTGTTGAACGATGAATCAGTAGAGTGTATGTGTGTCCTGTTTCTTAACTAGTGTCTGTTGAACGATGAATCAGTAGAGTGTATGTGTGTCCTGTTTCTTAACTAGTGTCTGTTGAACGATGAATCAGTAGAGTGTATGTGTGTCCTGTTTCTTAACTAGTGTCTGTTGAACGATGAATCAGTAGAGTGTATGTGTGTCCTGTTTCTTAACTAGTGTCTGTTGAACGATGAATCAGTAGAGTGTATGTGTGTCCTGTTTCTTTCCAGCTGGCTACTGTGTTGTCACGTACCTCCTTGGAGTTGGAGACAGACATCTTGACAACCTCCTTCTCACTAAAACAGGTACATGATCGGAACCAGTACTGTCTGCACTGATTATTAGTGGATTCATCATTTACCTATATATAAATGAGGAAAAGTTGACTATTGCTATATTGTTGCAATGCAATATTTCAGTACAGGTGCACCTATGCCAAATTCTTCAAATGCTTTGTAATACTCAGCTACATGTTTTGTTTTTAAAATTGTGATCTGTAGGCAAATGTTCCATATGTGGGTATGTTGGTTTGCTTTTATTATATGTTTGGATCTTATTGCTTCTTCCTTAGGGTTGTATATTTAATAGCAATGTTATATATGCAATATTGTTTTTCATTGGCATTGGCTACATTACGTTGACAACACGTCCCATTCACATCAGTGACCCCCAACACCTATACAACCTTTATGTTTCTTCTCACCTGACAGGTAAACTATTCCATATTGACTTTGGCTACATCCTGGGCCGAGACCCGAAGCCCCTTCCGCCTCCGATGAGGCTGAGTAAGGAGATGGTGGAGGCGATGGGAGGAACCAACTCCGAACACTTCTATGACTTCAAGAAGCACTGCTACACTGCCTTCCTGGCACTCAGGAGGTACACAGCAGCTACATCCTTCTGTCTTATTTCCCCACATGACAGACAGACAGACAGACAGTTTATTTGCGTAATATCGGCCTAGTGGCCTATAATACAGTTATACATTTGTATAAATCGATGTACAGTGGTCAAATGGATCCATGGGTACATGGGTACATTGTGTGAAGCCCATCTCTTGTGTCCCCTGCTGTGATATTGCTGGAACATTGCTAAAAACTGTAGAACTCTACTCACTCACTCCTTTTATCCACATCATATATAGGTTTAATATTAATAAAACAATCTTGCATAATTTTCTTTCAAATATATCAGACCGCCTCCGTGGTGTAGTGGTAAGAGCGTCCGCCTGGAGAGCGGAAGGTCGTGGGTTCGATCCCCGACCGCGCCATACCAAAAGACGTTAAAATATGGTACTTGTTGGTCCCTGCCTGGCGCTCGGCATTAATGGGTACAACAAGGACTGGTCGGCTCGGAGTCAGTATAATGTGTCTGAGTGGGGTAATCATGCTTCACTGCGGCATGGTATCTCAGTGAGCTAGCACTATAAAACCAGCTTCAGTCTGGGCTAGTACAAGCAGCCGCACATACACATACACACGCATGCACGTCGTCATATGAGCAAAATATTCTCAAGTACGACGTAAAACCCAATTTCACCTCACCTCAAATATATCAACGTGAATCTGTAAAATTTGAAAATTCTTTGGCTGTTTGGCAACTGTTTGTAAACAGTATGAGCCAGTATCTTGAGTATAATGAGTATTTGGAAACAGCTTCAGTTGCAGAGATAATTAGTGATGTCATTTGATTGTTACATGATGGTAACTGAATCACAATGGTCTTCAAGGAATTTTCAGGGTGTTTGAGTCTGTTTCATCTGATGTTGACAGGTCTGCCAACCTGTTCCTCAACTTGTTCTCCCTGCTGGTTGATGCCAACATCCCGGACATCGCACTGGAGCCAGACAAGACGGTGAAGAAGGTGGGTAGCTTGAACACAGCAGCATTACATTCATCTGACTCAACAACTGATGGTTATTGTCACACCAGTATTTCCAGAGATATTTTAGGTTTAAAAACAAAACACTTTGAAAAATATTGTACTTCAGTACTCTTTTGGACAAAGTGATTGTCATTTTCCAGATGTAAAAAAGAGATATTGATAAGCAGTGTTTCATGTCATATCTGGCTGCCATGTGTGTCTGTAGATGCTGTTAATATTGTCATGTGATACTTATGCAATGCGGTGCTGTGCTGTATCTCCTGGTGATATTGTCATGTGATATAGTTATAAAACCCCACCATATCTCCAGGTAATATCGCCATGTGATACATTGTTATATAAGATTGTATTGTACCACTTATTTGAGTGCCTTACAATCAGTGGTACAGGTTACATCTGTTTACATGGTTACAACCTTCTGTATCTCAGGTGCAGGAGAAGTTTGTCCTGCACTACACTGATGAGGAGGCGGTGCACTACATGCAGAACGTCATCGACCTGAGTGTGTCAGCCGTCATGGCCGCCCTTGTAGAGCAGCTACACAAGATGGCTCAGGTGGGTGGAACATGTTCTTCCTGCAGAATAGACTTGTGTTTCTTCCATTTTAAGTAAATTTTCCATGTTGTAGCCAAAGCTGTTTAAGATGATATGTGAAATAGTTTATCATTATCTATATTTTTCCTTATCCTGACTCATGCTCTTTTGCTTGTCCCCTTCCTCTTGCGAACATAGTGGAACACTTGTATCTCCTTAATTGAAGCTCCCTTCAATGTAAAATCACTAATTGGTACTCACCCACGAGTTACCTCCCCTGCCGTAAGCGCGGGAACAGGTGTCGCCACCCTCTGGCCTCATGCTTCACTCTCTCCTTCTTCGCCCAGTGAGCAGGATGTGAGAGCGTCTGTGTCTCCTTACACACTATATCCTTTGGTTTTTCTTAGTTAGTTACCTTTTATAGTTTACTATAAAGGTATAGCTAGTATCCTTCAGTTATTTTATGCTAATAATTAATCGTGATTTCTACCGTTTATTCACGCGGAGTTCGCGGATTGTTCAGCTAGTTTTACATTGATGAAAAACTGTACTATTTGTAGATTACGCTTTTTCCGCTCGGCGGATCCGCATGTGGTATGCCCTAGTTGTACTCGCTTTGTGCGCTTGACTCACGCTGCAGTTACTGCATAAATTTAACCAATTCTGCCTTTGATAAATACCATCTTTGCGCCTTTGAGACGTGTTGCAGATAGGTCACGCAAAACTAGGTGTAGACATGGCCGATACGCCGGATTGCCCATCCAGTCAACTGCTGTCGAAAGTGATCCCTCCCCGCCTGGTGTTCTGCTTGAGACCCCATCGAAGAGGGACGGGATGCAGTCCGTCACCTCTAAGAAGCGACCGCCCTCCAGACATCCAGTCATCGCAGACAAAGTCCAAGAGGGCCTCAACGCTTCTCAACGCAGACTTCGCACCCCAGGGCAGCCGCCTTCCTCCAAAGGGAAATCTACGAAGTCATCGAGAACTTTTCAGACGAGATCGCTCCAGCAGCAGAATTGGGCCTCTACGATGACCAGCCGATCATCATACCCGACATAACGCCACAAGAAGTTTACCAGTGACAGCGACAGTGACGCCAGCAGAGATCAACAAGCAGCCTGATGCCTCTACACTGATGTCAGACGAGATCGCTGAGGGCCCCACCGCTAACACAGCAGAAAGGGCACCATCTACTACGCCGCAGATCATCCCAAACGATCTTATGAAACAGATCATGATTATGATGGAAGGCCACTATAGACTGGAGAAGCAGCCATCCCAGGGTCCGAGTTTCGCTGAAGGCTCCAACGTAGACAGCACCCCAGGGCACCATCTGTCAACGTAAGCAGCCACGACAATGCAGCCTTCGCGGCGAAGTCACAGACCACCTCGAATGGAAGGACCCAGATGTACAGCGAAGGCCTCGCTGGGCGGAAGAATCATCACCTTCTTCGGGCCATACTCAGATATGGAATCTGATCACCAGACCACACGCAAGCCTTTCGCGAAGGTCATATCATCGTTCCCCAGGACCGACGCGTATGAAGCTTCGCTAAGGCGTTCGCGGCGACACCTGAACCCAGATCGCTCTTCATCTAAAAAGATCAGCAAGGGACTACACAAGAGCTTCGCTAAGCTATCAGTCCCCTCATAGATCGCCAAGAAGGTCAACCTATCGATATAGATCACCAAGACGATCACCTCGCGCCGATCACCACGCCGACACCTTCACAGGTCTGCACATAAGCCTACAACTAGATCTCCACAAGCTGCCAAACGATATAGAGATAGAGCCACACAGCCCTACATCAGAAGAGCAACAACCTCTTATCTATGATGATGGAATGGAAGATGATGGAGGAATTATTTTCAGATGCAGAGATAAGATATTGGATGGTCAATAATCTAGATCTCTCATCACCTTCCAAGAGTGGCAATAAGGCAGACTTATCTGATGAAAGAAGATGACGCAGATGCTATTACACTACCCCTTTAATCGACCCGATTTAGCGCGTACCTCAGAACCTAGATACAGCATTTAACAAAGCCACAAAGGTTCAGACGCCACATCTGTTAAATTTCAGCGCCAAGAAGTTCTCCACGCATAATATGGAACCCTTCTTCAAAGCATAAGACATCGATGAGAACTATAAGCTGATCTCCGATGCCAAGAACAAGTACTACAAGATTGATGATCGGAAATTGGTTCAGATAGAAACCATGACGAGGCGTATGTTCTTCGGTCTAAATAGATCTAGAACAATAAATGAGACACTTATCTCCAGATTTCGGAACACGACCTCTGAAGATGACAGAATGATTTACTCGGCCCTACTGATGCAAAAGAAGGACCAGCAGTTTTTAACAGATCATCTGACGTCTGTCTCAGCAGCACTGACCTTAGCTCGTCTGCCAAGGCCTCCCTAGCTTCCTGCAACTGGGGTGAGAACTTTACAGCTCCACTATATACAGCCCCGTGGTCTTCCCCATCCATATTTGACGGAGGAATAGACACAGTCTCCAAAGAAGTCACCAAGGATTCTAGAGAAGTCCTGATGATTAAATCGATGGACACGCTAGCCAGTGTCATTCGACAGACTTCACAAAGATACTCAGGGAGATCTAAATTCACGGGCCTACAAAGAGCTAGAGACAGGAAGATTGCCAGTTCCAGGGGAAGAGATTCTTTCGCCCATATGGCAACTATAGAGGAGGGTCAGGACGAGGCAGGACACCCAGAGGTTCCCGCAACTATAAACGCTGAAAGACAGGTTCGAACGATTGGAGTCTTCCACCCCCAGCCGCTCCAGTACAACCGCCACAAGTGGGTGGACGTCTTCAACTACACTGGGAAAACTGGGGAATACTTCAAGACACCTATGTCTCCAACATTCTTCAACGCGGATTTCGTATCCCACTACAGGCCAAGCCTCCACTAACAGTCAACCCTCACAAGTTCGAGGTAGAGGCACAACAACTACTAAAGTTAAGAGAGGCGGTTACATTACTCCTAACCAAGCAGGCCATAGAAGTAATAGAGCAAGGAAACATCAACCAGGTTTCTACTCCCCAGTTTTCCTAGTACCCAAGAAGAACTCCAAGGAGAAATACAGACTCATTTACAACATGAGCTTATTCAACAAGACTTACTTAAACAAACCACCCAGGTTCACTATGATACATCTACCGCAGCTACGGCAGATGATTCGCCCCATGGACTACATGGGCAGTATAGATCTACAAGATGCTTATCTGCACATCCCAATACATCCCGAATCCAGGAAATACCTTCGGTTTACGCTAGACGGGTTACATTACCAGTGGAAAGTACTCCCCATTGAGGAATAGCATCAGCCCCATGGTTATTCACGAGGATAACGAAACCGATTGTTATCTATCTACATCGTCAAAGGGCTACGCGAGTGCTTCTTCCTCGACGACGGGATACAAGTAGATCAAGATCCACAGCATCTCAAACTACAGTTAAACTACATCATAAAGCTACTAACACAGCTGGGATGGTTAGTAAACTTACACAAGTCGGACCTAGTACCATCGCGAAGATCTGCAATTCCTAGGAACCGATTTATCACCAATCTCAACCGTGATAGTCGCAGCCAGAAGACCGTTGGCTCAAGATCCAACAGATCATTCCACCAGCTCTACTGTCACCGCTACCACTTCGACAATGGCAGAGCTTACTAGGTTCTAACATCAGCCCAAGACTTGACAGTCATAGGCAGATTACAGTTACGTCCGTTACAGGTCTTCGTCAATACACATCTCGACGACCTACAACCATTCAGTCTACCGATACATCTCAGACCTCATCTATTATGGTGGACAAAGAAATCGAATGTCTGCGATGGGATTTGTTTAGCAGAGCAGGAATTCAAGACCCATCTATATGTAGACGCTGCCGCTCCAAGGTTGGGGAGCTCATCTCTCCAATCGGACGGCATCAGGGTTATGGACTCAGCTAGAAAGCAAACTCCACATAAACGATTAGAGATGAAAGCTGTAATCAACGCCATAAGACATTGGAGCAACATTCTACAGAATGCGCACCTGATGATACATACCGACAACTCGACAGTGGCGTTTTATGTGAACAGACAAGGCTCAACGAGATCGCCGAACCTTTTGAATTTAACCTTTCAACTGTTCAATTAATCCAAAATCTAAATCTACATGTCAAAGCATGCCACATTCTCGAGCCAGGAATATACTAGCAGACGACTCTCGCCACATCTACCGTCGCCGACAGAATGGATGCTCAATACAGAGATATTTGCACAGATAATCAAGCAAATAGGAGCCGCCGCTAGTAGATCTATTCGCCACAAGGTTCAACAATCAACTCACCGACATTCGTGTCACCAGTGCCAGACCCACAAGCATGGGCAACAGACGCTTCTAAGCATTTCATGGGAAGGCCTCAATGCGACGCTTCCGCCCCAGCAATAATACCTCTAGTATTACAGAAAATCAACCAAACGCGTAGAGCCTACAACTCACTTTGGTCGCCCTATTGGCCGGCCAGAACGTGGTTTCCGCCTTTAATACAAGATATCGGTCAACCGGCACTAGAACTACCTGCAAGCGAAACCTGTTAATACATCCTCACACCAAACAGGTGCACAGAAACCCAGAAGTATTCAAACTTCACGATGGACTGTATTAAAATGTGTTTAAACAAGAGAGGATATTCTACCAGGGCGGCAAAAGCGGTCACGCTTTGCCTTTACGATACTCAACGCGTAACTTGTACGCATGACAAGTGGCAAAGTTTCGGAAAATTATGCAACAAACAAGGGTTTTACAGCTTGGTAGAGATGCTACGCATCCTCAAGTGGCAGACTATTTGTGTTACTTACGGCAAAACAAACATTTAAAAGGCTCGACATTGTCAACATATCTTGCCGCCGCTTTTAGTTCTGTGATTTCTATGAGAACGGGTGTTAAATTAACAAGAACACCAGAGTTACTGGCCCTTACTACGTGCTTCTCCGATTGGAGGACCAAAGCGGAAATTCCACGCCCAGCTTGGGATCTGAATGTAGTTTTACGACACCTCACAAGTGAGGATTACTTAACCATTGGAATCGACAACGCTTTGAATTTCTCTCACAGAAAACAGTCTTCCTGTTATCGCTAGCCACGCAGCCAGAATATCTGAAATTCATGCTCTAGATTATGAGAGGATACAGTTTGATGAAAATCAAAAGACAGCACCTGGGATTAAGATGGGATTTCATCGCTAAAAATCAACTACCAGGTCAACCAGACAGGTTATTTCACATCCCTGCGCTATCCTCAATTCTTGGATCTCAAGATACATTGGACTTATCTCTATGCCCAGTAATGAGCTCTCATAATCTATTTTACGCCGTTTCCAAAACAAGGCTTAAGATCGCCAGAAGATTGTTCATCCCGCTATCGCCACAAATCAGACAGAAGTCTCGCACTCACCATATCAATATGGATAAGAACTGTCATTTTACGCCTATAAGGCAGCAGGACTGGACCCTCCAACAGCATCAAATCCCCATGAAATCAGGGCATTGGCATCCACCCTCTTCATGGTAACTGTTCATTGAATACAATTATGGAAGGATGCTTTTGGAAATCTAACATGGTGTTTGCTAATCACTATCTCAGAGATATCACCACCGAGGACGCCTCTGGCATTCATCATTTCGTCCTTTGGTCCCTCGCCAGCAATTGACAGTCCCTCAGAGGGCTAATATTCACCCCCACTAGATTATTAGATATATGATACATATATTCACTAGCTTATAACTCCATGGAGTTCTAGGGCTATGTACATATTTAGCTTAGGTTATTCAACCTTAAGCTCATACTGACTTATATTCAGTGTACAGCTACGTTAGAGTAGCAGTTTATATATATATATTGATATATCAGTATATTAGTAAGGTAATACCCCACTTATAGTGTATATATCTATGGATTATTATAAGGAAATATCCTAAGTCTCAATGCCTTATGAAGTTCCCCAAGAGGGTTATTACAATATCACTTACTTAAATCACTAATTAATCCAAAGTATTCTGTTTACCCACCACCTCTCCGTGGATTCTACAAGCAAAAAGAGCATGAGTCAGGATAAGGAAAAATATGTAATTTTCTGAGTAAAATTGATATTTTATACTTATCCTGACTCATGAGGTTAGCTCCTCCCATCCTCCCCACATAACACTTTGGATTTCCTGTAAATTCAAGTGTTGGGCTCGCAAAATCAGGAGAGAGTGAAGCATGAGGCCAGAGGGTGGCGACACCTGTTCCCGCGCTTACGGCAGGGGAGGTAACTCGTGGGTGAGTACCAATTAGTGATTTTACATTGAAGGGAGCTTCAATTAAGGAGATACAAGTGTTCCACTATGTTCGCAAGAGGAAGGGGACAAGCAAAAGAGCATGAGTCAGGATAAGTATAAAATATCAATTTTACTCAGAAAATTACATATTTATTTTGTGACTTCTGTCTTTCAGTACTGGAGAAAATAGAAGAAACTGATCGTAAAGCGTGCAATATCAGAGTGCAATACTGAGAGTGGTGATACAGCAACCATATACTAAACACCAATTATACTCAAAGGTTTGGATCCATCAACATATTTATGTTCAGTTAGCTATGTGAAGTGAAAGTGAAGGTCTACAGTGCAGTCAAGAAACTTCCACTGACTTCCCATTGATGCGTTCTTCATAGATACTAATTGAGGTCTGGATCTTCAGCATTACCAGACGATGGTCAGGTATCTACAGTGCTCAGTGTTGGCATTGGCATGAAACTTGCCTTGGGTTATTAATTATTAGTTACAAATTCCAGGTGTTTAATCAGTGCCAGTGATGAATGGATAAATGTGAAACTTGTCACATGAACAAAATCCATAACTGGAGATGTTTTGTTTGAGAAAGTCTTTGTTGATCTGTCCATTGGGTATATACATGTATTGTGTTTGTAGAAAAAAACTACTAATTAATTCTTGAACATTTGATGGAATACTAAGTTATCTGAGAAGTGACTATTTTAGTTATAAAGATTCTTTATTGCTGTAGATATATACTGTATTATATACATGTCTTATATGTGAGTTACATTCCAAGTGTGTATTATAGTGTACAACCAGTGTTATACGATGCTGACAAACTCTTATTTCCTGTCAATGTCTAGTTGCTTTCAGTATCGACAATGGTAAGGAAAGGCTAGATTTGGTTGTCACCATATTAATAAAATTTTCTTGTATAAATTATGTGAACTAAGTTCAGTGTAATATGACATCCAATAGTGTATATATCACATGTACATTTATGTAAATATTTGTACAAAACTGATGAATAAAATTGTCTTAAATCAAGTTGGTTTACAGTGGTGTGTGATATTCTTAACTGACAGGGAAACATTCTATCTATGGTATAAACTATACAAAACACTTAAAGCAGCAGTTATCCTCATCATATTCCCTGCAACACATCCAAGCATTCTTCTATCTGATTGGTCAGCCAGAGGTTTCAAATCACATTATCATGCCTGTGATTTATGAACATTGAAACTTAGATGTTGAAGCACCCTTTTCTGTATCCTAACTGAACTTTTCGCTATTTCTTACGAGGGGGGACCACTTGCTGGTAGAAGAGCCAGGTGTGCGAGTTGTATGTGTGAAATTGAAATTTCACTGCACATGCTTGTTGATTACCTGGCTGTTCTACCAGCAAGTGGTCCCCCCTCATAAGAAATAGCAAAAAGTGACAACAAAATAATGATCGTTTATTAAACAACTTTTTTATTCGGGTGTCCAAAATCATGAGACAAATCATCAGAGTTGGTCTGTCGATTTCATGTGACTGTGCAAAGTGTGATTTGGTTGCATTTATTAGATTTTGTGTTAGTGAGCAATTCATCGGTCTCAAATGAAGTCAAACGGACTGTAGTAATAGTAGTTGCATATAAGGTGCTTTCAAATTTAATTTGGATTATTGATATTTGGAAGCTTAAAATATTGATCTGTATTTAGTAATGGTGTCATTTGTACAGAAGCACACAGAGTAATGAATGCTTATGGTGTTTATTGTGTCCCTATGAAGGATCAATCTCATACACTGACACTGTGCCTGATCCATTGCTAATGACCAATGCCAGTGTCTTGTTGGCTGGCGTCTGTTTGGACGATATCAGTCTGAAACAACAAGTGAGTGAGTATAGTTTTTACGCCGCTTTTCGCAATATTACAGCAATATCACAGTGGGGGACACCAGAAATCAGCTTCACACATTGTAGCCATGTGTTGAATTGAACCAGGTTCTTCAACCTGATGAGCAGATGCTTTAACCATCAGGCTGCCCCACCGCTCCGCTAAACAAGTAATGTCAAAACAAAAGTCAAGTTTTCATTTAAATTTACTTTGCAAGCCGCTAGAATCAGCAATAGCAAATCCACCTTAAACAGCAGACACCAGCTTTCGAAACCTCACCCAACAAAACATGACATCTGACCAATAGGAAGAACCTAATATTGATGTCTTCAGGAGCAGCATGAGATCATAATCCAAATCTCATCTTCAAGTCTTGAACTATCACTTTTGGCAAGCACACAAAATAACTCTACATGATATGCTGATATGCTTAATAACAACGTCCAGATATACTTTATCAACACTGTGACAATGCATCAGATAACACTTTAATATTGTCAACCTGATATTCGAGATACCAACCTTCCAAGGTATACTTTGAGAGGCTTTGCATTTTAGGGACCGTTCATAATTTATGGCTAGGGGTGGGTGGTTTGGTGGTGATGATGATTTTTATGGAGATGCATGTACAATGTGAATGACCCCTCGTAAAATTTATGTACAAAATAAGTGACACACACACACACACACACACACACACACACACACACACACACACACACACACACACACATGTCATGTACAAAATCAATGCATGTCATGTACAAAAATCAATGACCCCCTCCCTTCCCATAATTTCTAAACATAATTTTGAACATATTTTTATGTACAAAATTGCTGACCCCCCTAGTACGTGTGTACAAAATTGCTGACCCCCCTAGCTCCCCAGCACAAAATGGGTGACCCCCCTTAAAATCATCATCACCCCCTCTAGCCATAAATTATGAACGGTCCGTTACACCACACTCAGCAATGTTCAGCTATATGATGTCAGTCTAATATCTAGCCAGAAGACCCAGTGACTGACATCATGAGCATCGATACCATGTGTAAACCAATGAACTTGACAACACGGTCGCTTCTTACAAGCGTGGGTTGTGAAGATTATGAATAAACAATGCCATCTACAAATTGGTCAAATGTAACACATGTTAAATTTGGGGTTACACTTTCTCAGTAAAGTATAGATCCTAGTACTTTTGTTGGGTTGAGTCCCGTCCGGGTTTCGAACCCACACTCTCATGCACCACACCACACGCCAACACACTGCTGAAGATTAGTTTTAAGCCGGTTCTTGACGGGTAATTTATAAATACATTTAACGTGACCGATCTGCATTTAAGCCGGTTCTTCACGGGTAATATATAAATACATTTAACATGACCGAGCTGCATACGATAACACTGATATCCCCCACCTGATATCGGAGATCCCGACGTCGCCAGCAGTGCCCTGCCTGTACATATCCTCCATGGTCTGCCTGGTGCCGCCCTGCCTGAAGACATGGTTGAGGTCCGTGGTCAGCGAGCCCATGTCCAGCGTGTATAGGTACAGACTCCCCATCGTCTGACTCCCCAACACCAGGTATGTCTTCCCATTGTCCTCCACTACATCCAGAGCACTCAGTTGGGACCCTGGAATTGACGGCTCATCACAGGCAGGACGTGGTTAATCTCATCGCGACTCATGACTGGTTTTCAGTGATCCATTCATACAGTTTCCACACGTATTTTGCCTTTTATGCCCAAAACAATCTGCTTGGGCAGATATTCAAAACCGGTTATTGTCTGTCGTTGACGTTTTATATGTAACAAAATATATCCCCCAAGAACACCTTTGATATCGTTGTCATTATAAGCCAGGATTTCAATCAACAAGCATTCGTAAACAGGGGCGGATACAGCTTTTTGAGAAAGGGTCTGGATCTGCTTATGGTAAAGCTACGACATTTGTAAGCCTATGGTAAACTTTAGAGTTACGGCAGGTCGTAACGTTACGAACACTTTGTGGATCGGGGTGCCGTTGTACAAAGCGATCTTAGCGCTAAGGTTATCGTAACTCCCATTCATTAACGTAGACTTAAGGTAGCCTTAGCGCTAAGGTTGTTTTGTACAATGGCACCCGGCGGGTCCCTAGGTCCTGTTGCACAAAGCGATCTTAGCACTGACGTGCCGATGTGCTAAGATCTCTTTGAGCAAAGGGCCATGGTTTACTTTCGTTTGCAACTCCATGGTTGAAGAGTGACGATGTTATTTTAAAGTGTTGATCAAGTATTGATGTTTCTTCAAAACAGTCGTTATTTTTTACTTTTGTTTTCAAAGCAAGAAAGTGTGTTTATGATTTAAAAAGATGCCCCTTAAAAGGCTCAAGTGAACCCTTTAAAGTAAACTCACGAAATCTTTAGAACTGGCATCTCTCATGTTCTCCGGGGTTGAATTTACAGATGATGTGATGTCGGTGTTGAAGACATTGTCCAGCAGCAGTTCATTGACCTCCTCTACCTCACCCCCACTGTTATATACAGGCCCGTGGGTCAGGTCGGTAGTATCCCAGATAGAAAATCCACGCCCACCAAACGTGTGGATGTCGGGAATCCCCGACGAGTTGAGGTCACATTTACTGATCATTAGTCTACCTGCATTCAGAACACACCGGTGAATACATGTAGCATGTGATAGGCGCACAAGACACGAATGTGATAAAATATTTATTAGTTGTTAGTTTGTTGTTTAACGACGGAATTATCAACATGCCAGCTATATAACGCCGGTCTAAAAAATAATAGCGTCTTGACACGACAATCCAGTGATTGACATAATGAACATCGATCAATGTAATCGGGATGTAATGGCATGCATCAACCACGCCAGAGAGCTGATGACCCAGTCCCATCAGTCGCCCCTTAAGACAAGAAACATAGACCCAGAGAGACTATATAAGGGGGTGTTGTAGAGTATCCCTGATAGACCAAAGTATACATGTCAAAAGTATATATGTACATCGTGTATACTTTAGGTCAGAGTCTCGATCCACATCGTAAAACTAAAGTAAATTGCAGAGTTACGACAGGTCGTAACTTTACGAACGCTTTGTGGATCGGAACCCTGACCACTTGATATTCGGAGTGGGGAGAGGAGTGACGAGGACATGAATATGCCCTCAAATTAATGTGTTCAATGTCTTGAGGTCATCACTCAGTGTTTGGTTTTTGTTGTTTTTTGGGTTTTTTTGTCGAACTCGGGAGTTTTCACACGTGGTTCCCCTCAACTTTGACACAATGGTGTTTGACTGGACGGGAAGGAGGAGTGCTTACCTAGTTTGTCAGGCCGGCTCAACATGTCAGTTAATGTGTTGTTCTGTGAGCCATCTGCTCCCACTGAAGCAGCTGTTGCCTCGGACCAGGAGAAGCCATGCCGCCCCATGCTGTACTCCCTGATCCTCCCCTCGTCCGCTGTCAGCAGGTACGTTTTTCCCTCCTTCTGCAACAGCTTCATCGCCCGGGGCTGGTATAACCCGTGGATGGGGTACTTCGCGAGGTGGGCTCCTTCACAGGTACAAAGTCATCAATGAAGGAAGAACGATGATGTACTTCACAGAAAAGGTAACTCCAGGGTGTAGGACATACAGTATGTAAAGGTCATTTGTGAACAAAATTTGTGAGGAGTTTGTTAGGGAAGACAAGGTACATTACAAAGTAGGCACAGAGGGTTAAAGAGTAGGCACAGAGGGTTAAATACGTTGTATGTACAAGTTCGTCAGAGAAGACCTTTGAGTAAATGTAAAAATAAGGAGGGTATGCCATACACTGGGTACCTGCACTTTGAGGAATGCGTGGTATATACAAGGCCACCCGTGGACGAGATCAGAGAGTAGGTTGTCAGAAGGAGATGGGGTGTGTGATAGAGTGGGTGCCTTACAGACGAGGAATATATGGTATCTACAAGGTCATCCGTGAATGAGATCAGAGAGGAGGCTGTCAGGAGAAGATAGGTGTGTGACAGAGTGGGCACCTTCAAGATGAGGAATACATGGTATCTACAAGGTCATCAGTGAACAAGATCAGAGAGGAGGACGCCAAAGGATGATGCAGACGAGTGGCACTTGTTGGAACCACGTAAACTACATCCTTATGTAAAACGATGAACAGAAGTCATTCTATAGTGTCTTTACCTATATCATTCCAATTCGACATTTTATCCTGAAATGTCCATACCTCCGTCTCTGTCGCTTGGATCCAACTGACTCTGGTTCCAATTCTTTGCACCGAGATTGTAGATGGCCTTCACCTCACCCCCTCTCACCGATACCTTCGCAATGGCATTATTTTCCTGTGTATATACAAACTAGGCAATGTAATAGGATATATACAGTGATAAACTATGGAGCGAGTGAATGTTGCTGAACTTCTCAGTCAGCAATATTCCAGATAAACCCTGGTGGCCTCAACGGGAACAGACTAAGAGTCACTTTGTTGTTCAGCAGTATTCCAGCCTCAACATAATTGACTTTGAACCAGAGTAGCAATGTCGTTGCCGGACACGTGGGAGATCCACGATTTGGGGCACTGTGGCATACAGTCAGTCGAATCACAGAACTCAACCATAATATCATATCTTGTTGCCTCCTACACAAACACCTGGGAGCTGACCACCTATTCTAACCAGGGGTTCTACGGAATCCAAACCTACGAGGTTTTCAAAAGAAATGACGAGGAACGGAAAACATTAAGATTCCTATGCATTCCCGATAATGTTAAATACACTGATACCGAGGTATCTGCTCAGGGAATCTTATAGGTGTTCGTCATGTCTCTATACTTACATGTTCTGAAAGGAGATAAGCCTTACTATATGACAAAATGATGATGCGAAGAAGCGAGTAAAAGAATAGCTATTGCCATGAAACAGTTATAAGGCACAGTGTTGAATAACCACTTTCGGTTTCAATATGATTTTGACATGTCCCGCGAGAAAACAGGCCAAAAGATGGATATGCACTGGTGCTTAATCTTTTCCTAAGAGTGTATTTCCAACGGTTGGAATTTTAACTGTACTTCCACATGAGAACGTCATTTATAAATTCATAGCAATACGTTATGACTGAACGTTCCACAAGTGTTTGCAGTACTTCAAGATCAAGAACAACGGATGCCAGTTCCTGACTGTACATGCAGTAGTGGTGGTCCGATTAATTGAAATAATCGAAGATTGGTCGCAATGACAAAACGACCAAGCAATCGATCATATTTTCTCATAATCGAACACAAACAATTTTGGAACACTTGTTTGCAATAACAATATTTTTCAAAGGGTTGATTTTGTCTCGACATTGCTTAAGCACTACAAGCTCGTTCCAAGTCATGATTAAGTTTATCTTAACAACTCCAGGAAATGTATGTTCCTAACACACTAGTCATCCTTTAAAGATGTGAAATTGGTAAATGCATTTTGTGCAATTTGCGAAAAAACCCGAGAGAACTACATGTGTTTTCTTTATTTTTTGTGCATTAACAAACATAACCAGGAAAATTTGATAAATGACGCTAACCAATTATTTTCGATGATTGATCGGTTGTAAGGAACCAATCATCAATTATGAGATTTACACCAATTCCCAACACTAACCTGCAGTGTCATGAACACTGTGTGGTCACCCGGCGAGATGACAGCGTAGGACGGCTGTAGGTCCTGCGACAGACTAGAACTGGATGCAGAGGTTGACGTACTGACACACGCAGAGGGATGGCGAATGTCAGATCTGTGTCCCCATAAACAAAACCAGAAGGGTGCTTGGTTGCGCATATAGTAAAACAGCATCATGAATGTATGTGGCCAAGTCGCAAAATTCAGTTTTGTTTAACATATATAGTAGATAAACTTTATCGAATATGTTATTCTATTCTACATGCATGACAGCTGTATATGCTATAGTATCATTTTAATGTGTTCACGTACACAAAACACCAATGTTTTTTTTAAACTTTTCTCTTTGAACATAGTTTCAAAACATCTCAAACATTTTGCAGATAGAACGTTTCCTATTTTTGGAAACTGAAGAATGTTCAAATTAATATGAGAACACGATTTGGTAGCCTCACAAGAACAGTGAGTGGGTGAGTGAGTATTGTTTTACCCCGCATCAGCAATCTTCGCGAGGAATAAAGACACATGGCAATTTACGGAAATATGAATCTTTTTGAGAATCACACGTAGTGTACACGATGACGTTTGCCAGCGTAGAGATGCATTTCAACGCCAGTGCAAGTCTTAGAGCAAGATCTTTTCGTATGGTCACATAACAATAATATTAACAATTACTAAATTCAAATAGTTAAGAGAGGCGTTTTATCCTGTTTTACTCAGCATCTTAAACGTATGACCTCTCCTTACCAACCTTCCGTTGAATTTCTTGAAGTCTACAGTTTGTTCTGACCACGTGTCACTTCTGTCCTTTCTTAGGATGGTCGCCGATCCTTCGGGATCCACAAACTTGTTGGAGGCATCCTTTCCAGGTGCTCCTTCGTTGGTGATAACCAGGGTCTTGCAGTCTCTTGAGTACAGCACATGGGATGGAGAGGAACCCACTGTAGGACAAAGGATCACTGATAACCTTGGACTTGTGCAATGCAACTATCGGCGTCTTGGGCAGCTAATGTCAGGTAACGCTAAAATTTCAGGGTCTTCAGGATGCCTCAGATTTCCTTATTTGACTGAGGAGAATCATGTCTTGGGCACATTAAATCCTGTCCCGAACAGGTTTGGATTGAAAGAGAAGAGTTCTGGAGATGAGGTCACAGATACATTGCCATCTGATGACATTTCATCATTATCATAAAATGATTTAACATTATGAGAACTATATGAGATATACTACCGGGCAAGAGAAATATGTACTTGCAAATCCACTACTTACTGCAACCCTCATGAGAAGTCATGCGTACCTTATGTGGTCGAACATGATCGCTTACCCATGAAGTTTAGTGAACATAAGCCCTCTGTATGTTTAAGGGCTCTGAAGACATAATGCATATCCTTTTTGATACCCTTATCAAATACATCACCGTTACATAACGATTTGTTATGTGTGTAATTTTCACCTGCTATTAAGCATGAGTACATACATTCTTTGTCCGACAGTTCACTTATGTAGATTTGTCTGAGAAATTGTTGTAATTGCAGATAAACTGACTTTCGGTATCTCTACTCATTAACCTCTCTGAAGTCTAATTTGTAACGTCATGGTCAACTCTGATGCTCTAGTGCACTGTATTTTGCTTCTGCTGGGGAGAATCTCCACTCACCAGGTACTGTCCGGAGGTACAACAAAGTCTTCACATCATGACTGTAGGTCTTAAAGAACATCACGTGACCCTCATATACATCATCTGATGACGCCATGACGACAGCCAGTTCCCCGCCACACACATCCACGCCACGTGGTTGTCCTTGGGTCCGAGTGAACAGATGGTCAACAAGCAGTAGCGGGGATCCCGGGTCAGAGAGGTCAAGGACGTGAACAACAGGGGACGCGTCTCCTTAGTCCAGAGGAGGAAGGAACAAAGATGGAAATGTTAGACCGATCCTCTATATCTCCATTTAGTCGAGAAACTTCGCCTTGTGGAAAGGTACTGTCAGCATTGTGTATACAACGTGGATACAATGATTTAAAAAACACCAAACATTTACGTCAATACTACACCTATGCAGCATCATTACAGTGCTATTACAACGTCAATACAACGTTCGCGCAATGTCAAGAAATAATTTCATGTCTGGACAGCGTCAGTACAAAATCCATACAAAGTGTCCGACCATTCAAACTAGTCCGGTACTGAGATATATAACTGAATAGGGGCGGTGTGGTAGCCTAGTGGTTAAAGCGTTGGCTCGTCACGCCGAAGACCCGGGTTCGAATCCCCACATGGGTACAATGTGTGAAGCCCATTTCTGGTGTCCCCCGCCGTGATGTTGCTGGAATATTGCTAAAAGCGGCGTAAAACCAAACTCAGTCAGTCAGTATAAGTGAATATGTTATACCTATAACATACAATACATGGCCATGGACGTCGTAGGCACCTGCTGCTGCCGCGCCACCATACAACTTGTACACCGGAAGCTGGTGAGCGGGGTCAGGATAGGATGCTAGCTTGGTGTAACTCAGGAGTCTCAACTGGTCACGTGATAGGCATTGTCCAATAAACACCAAGATCAGAAGGAAACTTGGATAAATCTTTAAGGCGGTCATTTTCAAATTTGTTGGCGTATTTCCGAGCGTGTTAGGATAAATTCGCTGTAAAAAGATGCCAGTTGTTTATTTATATGTCTATATATACATGTACATGTACCTTGATAATTTATCATTCATGAATATAGACGTGGGTCGTCTCAAAACAACTGGGTGATACTTAAACACTTCAGAGAACACTATTGAATACTGAGGTCCTGGATTTCGGCAATTATTATGACATAGTAGTATTTCCATATATATGGCATTGCAGATACACTTGTACCATATGTATTTACTGTTACGGGGAAAGAAAATGCGCCATGGCTTTAAGGACTTACGTAGTTCCATTCTGGTCTCAACCTGTAGATTACTGAGGTTATCAGTAGTTGCTAGGGGTCGCCTCAAACTCGACTCACCAGGCAAGATAAAGCGCTGGAAGCTTACACCAGTCGTGCTTCCAGTTTAAAATGATATAGTTTTATCTTTGAAACGGCCCCGGAAGTACGCAGATAAGAAAGTGATAAGAAAATTCATTTGATTTTCGCCTGGCACAGATGGAAAACAGCCTGAAAGCCATGGTGATTCTGTGGTAAAGTTTGAGACTTTCGACAGTTTTAGCAGTATGGTCGCTTAATGGAAACTAGTTCCTGGGTTTCTCATAGTGATGTATGATGTATGTATATCAACCTCCAGGATCTACAGTCTTCAGTTGGATCAGAGATTTGATTTGATAATGAAGCTCGGTTTGTTAGCAGGGCATCCGGATGAGTTTCACTATAACAGCAAATGTCTACCTCCTGTATCACGGGAAACTGTGTAGACAACCTATTTTCCATTCAAGATATAGTACTTATATGCACATAAGTAATAAGGATGCAACCCCGGTGTCATATGATAATCACATCATTAACGTTCAAGTTTACATTCGTCGTACCTGGTGGTGTAGACTAACAACTAGACTCTGAAATGAACATATTTTACTGAAAAAGGTTCATAGTAAAAAAAAGTAAGAATAATAATAATAATGAAAAGGAGCCCTGAGACTTTCTTCATTTTCAGAAGCTGAGGAAATCTAAACTTGCCACATTTTCTAGATTTGCGTGGGCTTTCTTGGATATATTTGCTTCAGGGTCTGTACGACAGACTACTGGTGGTGTAATAGTACCGGGTCGTTATAGAACATATACACACACATGATGAGGATGCTACCTCGGTGTCATATGATAATCACATCATTAACGTTCAAGTTTACATTCGTCGTACCTGGTGGTGTAATAGTACCGGGTCGTTATAGGACATATACACACACATGATGAGGATGCTACCTCGGTGTCATATGATAATCACATCATTAACGTTCAAGTTTACATTCGTCGTACCTGGTGGTGTAATAGTACCGGGTCGTTATAGGACATATACACACACATGGTGAGGATGCTATCTCGGTTGCTATCACATCATTAATTATATTCGTCGTACCTGGTGGTGTACTAGCACCCGGACATATATACTCTTCAAAAAAAGAAACTTGTCTTAGGAAACATTTGAATATTAGGAAAACATTTGACACAAGCCAATCCATGCTGAATTCCAACATGTAGGGGAATGGTTGCCGACGACAAAACGTTTGAAAAAGAAACGTTAAACAAAAACGTAATGTTACACTCACGTCTGTAGTGAATCGCTAAAACGCATCCTACATGAAATGCACGTGTATCATGAAATTGTATATCACGCTGAGCTAAAGCCTATGACTGTAGGCTTTAAAAAGCCACATCCACTTGCATTGCTTTAAGCCACTATAGACGACAGGAGAATGAAAAGACTGACAGAAGCTCAACGACACAGCGCCATCGACCGTTTACAAGGACGGGCGTCGCAGCATGAGGTTGCAAGGCACTTCAGCGTGTCCAGACAGACCACCTCAAACCTATGGACCCGATACAACAATACTGAGAGTATTTATGACAGATCCAGGTGAGGTCGACCTAGAGTTAAAACCGCCGCCAAGGACCGATACATCCGGTTGAGACATCTCCATTCAAACACCACGGCCGCATCATCCAGAACAATCCAAATCCCTGGACTGCGCCGAATCTCCGACCAGACATTGCACAATTGGCTATGGGGAGCCAGACCAGTTCAACGTAACGTCGTTCCCTTCATCAACAGCAACGGTTGATGCACGATCTCACGTTGCACGTGTTTTGACAGGACTCCCTCCAGCAAAACAATGTTCAGGTTCTCGATCACCCGATTTTTCCCCCATTGAACATCTGTGGGATACTCTTGGTCGACGCTTGCGCCAGCGTAATCCGCCACCTCAGACACTACAAGAACTGCACACAGCACTTCAGCAAGTGTATCAAAACATTCTTTAAGACGGCATTCGGCATCTCCTTTCTTCTATGGGTCACCGCTGCCAAGCTGTTAGCGATGCTCATGGTGGTCACACCAGATACTGACATTTTACTCTGACCAAGTGGCTTTAATAGCCCTCTGTACTTTTACCAAACACTTTCTGGATAATCATGTTTTGGAAATTTTGTAAAGTGATGATTTTACTGTATTTGAGCAATGATGTCATGTTTGAATCAGTTTTATATATTCAGTAAGTAAACTTCAAAACAGCATGTCAAGTTTCTCTTTTTGAAGAGTATATATATACACACATAATAAGGATGCTAGCTCTGTCGCTATGACAACCAAACAACATACAGTGTATCTATAACAATGTACACGTCACAAGTTTTAAAAGCTCAACTGACACATGAATAATGAGTAGCCTCAACAACTCAGACGCCGCAATTCGCTGCGCAGAGTTATGTCCCTTAGGGGTGCCAGGAACCTGTTACAGAAGGCTCGAACTGACTAGCCCGAACTGTGTCAGTATGTTTGTCAGCACCATATCTGTGCAAACAGGTTCCCCATAATAAACATCAAAGACCTGGATGATTCTGGGGGTTTCCTCCAACATGAACTTCATGTATCGTGATTTAACTAAAATACTTTTAAAACGGAATTCACCAAACCAATATGCTGAGACACTTGGTTGGCGGGATAACATCAGATAAAATTATTCTTTATTGCTTGTGAGGGAATTTGTCTGAGTGAGCATAAATACATGCACATCAAATAAATACATAAAAACATGATCATAATTACCTACGAATGTACAAAAGCATGAGAAGGGAGAGCATTAGCGGTTATTCAATAAAGACTGACTGACTGACTGAGTTTAGTTTTACGCCGCTTTTAGCAATATTCCAGCAATATCACGGCGGGGGACACCAGAAATGGGCTTAACACATTGTGCCCATGTAGGGAATCGAACCCGGGCCTTCGGCGTGACGAGCCAACGCTTTAACCACTAGGCTACCCCACCGCCCCTATTCAACAAAGAACTTGATAATGGTACAAAAGACATTCTATAACGCTTGGATTTGCACGTAGATACATTATACTGACGGCGAGAGGGGAAAAATTCACAACATTCATGTAAAACAGGAGGGATCTGTCATAATTTTTGTAGCTAAATTTAGAGTCTTTCCTCCATGAAGTTCATGTATTCTCTTAAAGATGTGATTACTAATTTTCTGTCCTTGTTTTATAATCTTGTTTAGTTTGTTTTTATTACCGAGTGAAAGGGAGCTGCACCAACACTGAATAGAGAACAGGAGGATGGATTGTACACAAGGTTTATAGAAAAGTTCCCAAAAAGTTGAGTCAATGTGAAAAGATCGAAGTTTCCCCTAGGAAATGAAAGCGAGACTGACAGTTATTGTAAATGCGATCGGTATTTTGAGAGAAATATATTTTATTGTCAGTTAAAGTTCCAAGATACTTATAACTACCAACCAATCCATGCTAGGCGTCTAGGAACGTATATCCTCAGATGTGAGAATGAGTCAGTCACGGACGGAAGTCCAATTATTGCACCGAGCCGTGTTTGCAGTGCAGGAAGTGGCTGATATTTGTTTACAACAAACCCATAAACTCATGACCACTCACACCTCCAAACACTCATTATCACTTGAATAACGCGCGACTAGCCTACACCAGTGGAGCCATGGGTGTCCTCCTCAGGAATCTGTGTAATGTGAAATGGAAAAACGTTTTAAACTTTCTTAATTTGATCAGTTGTCTACGAGATATAGAAGTATACACAACATATTAGTGAGTGAGTGAGTGAGTGAGTTTAGTTTATTCCGCACTCAGCAATATTCCAGCTATATGGCGGCGGTCTGTAAATAATCGATTCTGGACCAGACAATCCAGTGATCAACAGCATAAGCATCGATCTGCGCAATTGGGAACCGATGACATGTGTCAACCAAGTCAGCGAGCCTGACCACCCGATACCGTTTGTCGCCTCTTACGACAAGCACGGGTTACTGAGGGCTCATTCTAACCCGGACCTTCACGGGTCACAACATATTATATATGACGGGTCCCACTTTGATGTTGCTGGAATATTGATAAAACCAAGCTCACTCACAATGGGATATTACATGATTATGATCTTGGGATGTATCGCAGCTGTGAACAGCATTTCTGTTATGTCAAGGTTGTCAGCTGTATGTTGGAGGAAAGCCAATTTTAAGAGTAAGTGAGTGAGTGAGTTTAGTTTTACGCTGCTTTTAACAATATTCCAGCAATATGACGTCGGGGGCCACCCGAAATGGGCTTCACACGTTGTACCCATGTGGGGAATCGAACCCAGATCTTCGGCGTGACGAGCGGACGCTTTAACTATCAGGTGTAAAAGAGGTTTGCCATATTGGTGATACACGAACACTAATTAAGTGCTGACAATTTAAGAATCGTAATCAGTCCGAATCTGGGATTGGACCCCACGATCATATCGACTTGTGGGGTCATAGATGACAGTGCCACCCTGACCTTAACTATACATAAGCTTCCTTATATTTCTCACATCTATGCTAAATAATATTGTGAAATTTAATTTGCAAATAACATATTTTTCTTTGTGTTTTGCTTTTCCATGAAAATATCTATAAAAGCTATGCACATGGATTAAATTTGACTGGAAAGGAGCAAAACTCCATTTATGTGTATATCAGAGAAAGTGACAGGAACTACACACAGTGAGTGAATGAGTGAGTATTGTTTTACGTTGCCTTTAGCAATAATCCAGCAATATCTCAGATATGGGCTTCACCCATTGTACCCATGTGAGGAATCGAACCCGGGTCTTCGGCTTTAACCACATAGCTACCCCACCGCCCCTCTCCACTCAGAACAGCCAGCCAATGACCACCAGTCTCACAAAGCAGCAATCATTGTGTCAGGAGTGGGTGACATAATGGGGACCCTTAAAACTTGATAAAACATCACACTGCTATGCAACTGTACATGACATGAGGTCACCTGACAATGACATAAAGTCACATGGCACCACATGGGAGTGGCTGCTTGTACTCAGTCAGACTCATAGTTGTCCTAGGGGCTGGTCAAGGAGATGCTATTGCACTGTTTTAACCCACTCAGTACACTGACTCGAGCTTGACCATTCCTTGTTGTATCCCCTAAATAACAAATGCCAGGATGGGTAACCACCTTTTAACATCTTGCTGTATGAGGCAACTGGGAATAGTGAGTGAGTGAGTTTAGTGTTGCTCCGCACTCAGCAATATTCCAGCTATATGGCGGCGGTCTGTAGATAATTGTGTCTGGACCACACAATCCAGTGATCAACAGCATGAGCATTGATCTGCGCAATTGGGAACCGATGACATGTGTCAACCAAGTCAGCGAGCCTGACCACCCGATCCCGTTAGTCGCCTCTTATGACAAGCAGGGGTTACTGAAGATCAATATTCTAACCCGGAACTTCACGGGTCCAGCTGGGAATAGAGTGAGTGAGTGCTTTTAGCAATATTCCAGCAATATCAGGGTGGGGGAGACCAGAAATGGGCTTCACACATTGTACCAATGTGGGGAATCGAACCCGGGTCTTCAGCGTGATGAGCGAACGCTTTAACCACAAGGCTACCCCACTGACCCAGCTGGGATTAGAACCCCTGACCATACTCTCTATGGGCAGACGCTCTTTCCACTGGGCCATGGTCTCTATGATATGAGATCATGTAGCTCAGTGAGCTCCTCCTGGAACTTGGTCGTGTCACATTGTAATGAAACATACCAGATCTCTGAAATAGGTGACATAAACACAAACTGGGAAATTTCCATTTTATCCTTTTTATTTATGCAAGTGGTAGCGCAACACATTAATAAATATTTGTTTCAAATATACACGTAAATTCTGTAGACAATCTGTAAAAGCATTTTTTCATTCCACTTAAAAAACTGACAGAAAAAATAGTATTGAGTCCCAATAGCTCTGTAATGTAACTACCAGTCCTTATTTTGGCATCAACTTAAAGATGGAAGCTAGAGACAGGACATACAAAAAATCCAAATTTCAGTATTTTCAATGGAACACAGGGTGCGACAATCCCGCATCACAGGAGAATCATTGTCCTCATCCCTCCTTCAACAGGATCAAAGATTTCTGCTTCTGAATTTTCTTGAGATTTTGAAGCAGCGACAATTTTCCATCGAATTTAACATTTTGGAAAATTCTTATTTGTCCTTCATACCAAACTGTTTACTGCTGCAGGTGAAATAGCCATTGAGCTGATGAGACAGCTGATCCTAGGTATGCCTTTCTTAATATTGACATACAGCACTATGTCGAAAATGAAATGGCGCCAGCACCATAATGACATGAGAGAATCGGTATTTGAACCAGAAATCCACTCATTTTTCATTGTTTTCTTTACAGATAACATGCACGGATAACTATTAACATACCACTGCCATCAGACAAAAAGGAGGAAAACAATGTTATAATCACCTACAAAATTACTGCAGCTACAGCAATACAAACCCAAAATATACTAAATATCAAAATGTAAAGTTATATCTATTGTTCAAAATTAATGTGTCATCTGTACAACTTGCACTAGCAGGACAAAAATACATACATACATGAAACAAGTTTAGTCTATGTTTAGACTGAACAAAACATTTTTCAAATGAAATAACTTGTGACTATTTGAACTGTGTGGACTTAAACCTTGACTTTGTGTTTCAGCCAGATATGGACAGGGTTCAGTGTTCATAACTCTTTGTAGGATGACTGTGCAGTCAAACTGGCATTAATAACAGTAGTCAGACTTTGTACTCGGCAAAGAATGGGGTCCAGCGATTGGATGAATCATATCATACTAGGCATAACTGTCAATCCCATCATGTAACTTGTACTACACAAAGCACCTGCAACCATCAATAAACATGCAATATACAACCTTTTTTGTTCGTTTATCTTTAATATACAGCAAAACCCAGTTCATCCCAGGAAATTATTTTATAAATGAATACAAAGAGACATCAGGGGCACTTTTTGTTAATTACAGGAAAACAAAACTGTTTGTTTTCACGGTCTTTCACTGCACCAGCCACTATACAGTCTTTTTGTATTAAGTTAAGCTCTTTTGTATCATCTCTCATAGCTATTGCTGTATATTTACCCAGCCAGGTTATATGTGAAGCTGGCTATGCCAGACAATGACTGCAACAAACTCAGGAACGTTCACCACAGTAATACTGGTACAGCAGGATTTGATGGTTTGCTTTTCCTGTTACCATAGTTACCACACTGAACAGGATGTGTTAAATGCGTAGTCGATCAAGGATGATATTGCAGAAGCTTTACCGTTGGCAAACCTTAGTATCATTGATAGCTACCACCATGACAAATGCTGTATGGGTTGACTAGAAACAGAAACAGAATATAAATGGCAGTGATAAACTAGATGCTGTGTACATAAGCTTCCATGTTGTCCAGTACCAGTTGTCTGACAGTGGGCACGCATGTCAGTCATGATCAGAACTACTTGTATGTAAGGAAGAGACCAGGGCACCGTTTCACAAAGCTCTCATAAGCCTAAGATCTCGTAACTTTTCTCATAGCATTCGTACTTCCTATACTGTACAATAGGAAGTATGAATGCTACAAGAAAAGTTATGGGATCTTAGGCTTACGAGATCTTTGTCAAATGGGGCCCTGATACTTGTATATAGTCGGACAGACACCGCACAAGCTATACAAAGGAATGAAAGTTTCAGAAAAGTGTTCAAATCTGATCAGTGTAACACAGTGTACATTCAATACATTTGCCTATGAAATGCTGTGTATCACATTAAAGCCTACAGCTTCGTAACACTGAGGAGTATTTGTACAGAAGTGATTGCAAAACTAAACAAAATCAGTGAACTTAAAAGACATTTGTACATTCTCAACATTAGGCAGCAGAGCTAAATTCTACCGAGTGTCAAATATAGAATGTTTGTGAACAGACACAGAGATCATTATTGATCCAGTGAGGACATGATTATGTGCAATCATCGCAGTGCACGATAAATATTTTGGCTTCCATCGGGAGACAGTGAAACACTGGGGCTGTAACCATCACCTCTGTGGCAATACAACAAGCACCTGGATTACGCCAGCAGTCGCCACACACACAAAAATGCAGGGCACTGATCCACAAAACGTTTGTAATGTTACAAAATATCGTAACTCTATACTTAATCACAGGCTTATGAATGTCATATTGCTACGAACGTTTTGTGGATGGGGTCCCAGGTCTGTTTTTCAAAATTAATGAAAATATTTCAAAACTTCACTAAAACATTTTTCTTAAACTGTTCTCAATTACACTAACAATGACATGGGCATGTTGAGAATGCTTTTCACAAATCACCATAAAATTGTATTTTACAAATCAATTGCATACCATGTAATATATGATCTATATATCAGGTATCAGTAGGTATTGTCCTTTCAATGAGGCCCTATAATTTGTGGCACTGAGTCTTGTGAATGGTTGCAGCCCTAGGATACATGTATGTGTGTCTATGTGTAGAAGATAATCTCGGGGATCTGTCCATCTTCAACAGACGTGCCATTGTTGTTGCCAGCCGCATACGTGAACTGGAAGGTAACTTTCCCACTGGATACAGATTCATGGGTCACCTTGCGTAATCCTTTGGACCCATAGTATGAGTCTGGACCCTAGAAAGTAGAATATTAGATTAAATTTATAACATAAAAAAATGTATTAAAAGAAAAAGAACTTAAAACAAAAAAATGTATAATGTTTACTGAAATCCTGAAAGAGAGAGAGAGAGAGAGAGAGAGAGAGAGATTTTAGATGAAAAGAACTTAAAACAAAAAAATGTAGGGATTTATATGAAATCCACAGAGAGAGAGAGAGAGAGAGAGAGAGAGAGAGAGAGTTTACTGAAAGAGAGAGAGAGAGAGAGAGAGAGAGAGAGAGAGAGAGAGAGAGAGAGAGAGAGACAGAGAGAGAGAGAGAGACAGAGAGAGATGCTTGTTGTTGAAGATGTCTTGGAGGGAGGTGACAACCTAATGCCATTCGCCAGAACCATTGTCATGGAACAACAGTGTTGTTTGTTTTTGGGTTTACACAACAATATTCCAGTTACTTGACAGTGGACTATTAATAATCTAATTTAGTCCAGACTATCCAGTTACTGACACCGATCTATGTAACTTACATAGCGTAACATCTATCAGGACAAACTGAGAGGGCATGACAACCCTATCCTGTTAATCGCCTGTTAGGACAAGCATGGATTACTGAAAACCAATTCTAATCTGAATCTTCACATGGGCCTTGAAGCACTTCCTACCTTGAGTGTAGCACAGGCTATGTAGCTTGAGTTGGGCAGGATCTCAACCGGCTCTTTGAACATCACCCTGAATGTGGATGTGGAGCCATCACACTGGAAGCTGGTGTCATTGGACCCCATCACCTTGCTCGTGTCGGTGTGGATAATCTACCACAAAAACAGTGGGGTTAAAGGAAATAACAGAAACAACATCAGCCTATCAGTCAATAAGCCTGTAGGCTGTGCTATTGTTAAAAGGAAATGGCATACATGAATAATTAAATAACAACCAAACCTTCAAAGCCTCAGGTATTTTTCTAAAACCAGCCTCCTAAAGTGCATATAATCCCACATAACCCCTTAGTACGAATATAAAACCCCAAAACCCACATAAACTAAAACACCCAACCACACTACTGCCTACTTTCGCTCCACCTACTTATGCCGACAAATTCCAAATCTATACAAAAATCAAATATGCAACTCTAATGCCAACCCCCATCAAAACTGCCCTCTCTTTCAGTCATATTCACCCCTCTTTCGATCTATTCGATCTAACAGTAATAGGTCTGGTAGGGCTGTGTGCGAAACAAGCAATCTTTTTGGAAAGCACACATCAAATTTCCAAATTATCATCATCATCATCATCATGAATAATTGCTGCTTCAACCACAAGACAAATAAGGGCATTACCTGAATGTTGACATTGTATTCTGTTGGTCCATGAATACTGCCATACAACCCGAACCCAACAACAAATATACGCCTGTTCACCATGAATCTGAAATATATCAGTGCATTTTTATGGTCAAGTAGGTCTATCTACAATCGGCTGAATAAAATGAGTGATGTTCATTCCCATAGGAGGAGCAAATATTCAGCAAGGGCCAATAATTACTTTTGAGTAGTATAAGAACAAATTATTTGCCGAAATACTGTATTAATATTAGAATGTTTGCAACATGGAGATACATGGAGTATTGATACAAACCTGTCTGATAATCATATATGATAAATGTCTTATTGACCAAGTATATTGTACAAACACATTGAATGAAGAAGGCTCATCTTGATTTCATCTAACCCACTAAGTCAAATAAGCTTTAAGATTTATGAAAAATAATCTATTACCGTATCCGGTCACTTGTTCCACTGTAGCCCCATCTTGATTCAATCTGACAGAAGCGAGACACGACTTGTTCCTTGCCAGTCAAGCAGCAGCGTGGCACATCCAGGAAGCTGATGGATGGCTTGGGATTGACTGTGAAGTAGAGGAACAGCTCCACCACTTCTCGATCTTCAAGGATCCCGCTCTGCGCAGCTCCCATTGCAAACTCCTCTACAGTCATCAGTGGGAAGCGGATCAGCCTCAAAGACCTGCTGAGGACTCTTCTCTGGTTCTGTGGACTTGGAGGCTGATTCAGTCTGGCACATTCAGCTTCTGCCCAGCGGCATACTGACGAAAACAGTTTGCATTCCCTTATCCCCAGGGTGTCTCTCTCCAGCACCACACACAGCGTGTCATGATCAATGTCGGTAAACCCATCAGCGGACAGAGCTTCTGTCGTGTTCTTGTCAATTGTTTCGAGACACAGAGCTGCAAGCTGTGGCTCATCGAAAAGCCGAGCCTGGGTGAGCAACATAAATGCATTGTCACTACTCAAGTTTCTTTTAAGAAAGTCAACACAAGCTCTTTCCAAAGCAGGTACAGCATACTTTTTGGCTGTATACAATGTTGTCATGACAGTTTCAGGGTCAATCTGAACCTCATCGGAGTACAAGAATTTCAGCAAAGCCAGGAAAGCAGCAGGTTCAACATCTGGGATTTCGATTACGCTGTCTGAAGTTGCCATTCCACCATTGAAGAGGGCATCAAATACAGCACTTCCAACTGACAAAACAAACTTATGAGCTGGAATAGTCTGGACATTTGGCGGCTTTCCCACTAGGAAGCGAATATCAGACATTACGTCCTTGTTGAATAAGAAAGCCAGCCTTTCTTTCACTGAAGGCTTGGTAGCCTGCCAGTTGTAAGGGACTGAAGATTGATTCTGAGGCTGAGGAGAAGCAATTGTTGAAGAGACAGGAAGCGGCAGAGGTGGAGGCGAAGAGTCCTGTAACACAGACTTCAAAGCATTGGCACTACGTACATTGGAAGAATCACCTATGGTGCTGGTGGTGGACAGGCTGACACCGCTATCCCTGTTTGCTATAGATGCAGAGTGGGGAGGTATCACTGCTGGCGTTGTGTTTGAGGCAGCAGAAGCAGCTGATGTCCCCGATGCCGACGGCGATGCTGGAGGTCCTCCAGGTGTGGTTTCCTGAGGCTGATGGGCAGGAGATGAGTGTGGGGCTGCAGGTGTCTGGTTGGCTGTTGCCTGGCTGCTGGATGCTCCCTGGCTCAGAGAGGGCTGGTTCTTCGCAGCCGCCTTCACCCTCTCAGCATCCATACTGTTTGAACCCCTGAAATGAAAGGAGTCCCGTCAGAAACTCTATCAGGAATTACATCAGGACACTTTGCTCCTTGGCCAAATGTAAAGACAGCATCAAAATCAGGTAAAATGATACACCCGGCCTTATCACTCATACTGCATATCTTGACCATGTTGAACACCACTGCTTGTCACCGTCCATTAGAGCAAGCAAATTTGTATATCACACTGTACCGGTGTCCAGTTGACTTTCCAATGTTATTTATGTTGTTTATTTTAAAAAAATCAACAAGAAAACGGCCAGTATAGTGGAAAAATTATCAGGGCAAGTGATTTTACATGTGCCACTGTTCCGGAGTACACTAGCAATTTTAAAGTTATTTCCCCCCCTGTATTGTTCTTTTATAACTACGATTACAATGATTTAGTTCAGTTTTCATAAAATCCTAAATGTAATAATTCTACCTCAAATACAACATAATAAGATAATTAGGTAGTTGAAAGCAGTAAAAAATGAAAATACATACAAAGCGTTTACAATTTTACATTGGAATGAAAATAGAGGGGCAGGTGGGAGATGGACAACCTTACCAAATGTTTGGTGATGAAACAGATGCCTAACTAGTTCATAAAATACCTAGATGTCCTACATCATGTTCACTGCAATTTCTCAATGAACACAAAACTTATAATAAAAGATGAGCAGATATCAACAATATTGTCGGCATATAAATATTCAATAACAGGACTGAGTAAGTTGTTTGGTTTATTTGTTGTTTAACACAGCACTCAGCAATATTCCAGCTATATGATGGCGGTCTGTAAATAATCCAGTCTGGACCAGACAACCCAGTGATCAACATCATCATCAATCCACACATTGTGATATGATGACGTGTCAACCAAGTCAGTGATCGTGACCACCCGATCCAGTTAGTCACCTCTTACAACAAGCATTGGTTCCTGAAGACCTATTCTTACATGGATCTTCACGGATCACTGATTCAGTCAGTTGCATGACACCTTAACAATATCCAGAAATATCACAGCAGGGAGAGACCAGAAATGTGCCCATGTGGAGAATCGAACCCGTGTCTTTGGCGTGACAAGCAGACGCTTTAACCACTGGGCTACCTCACGCCCCAATAATAGGACTGAAGAAATGATTTGAGTAAGTTATCTTTTTTTTGGATCATCTTGTAGTGTTCTCACCATTACTATAACACCCCCACATGAACATAAGTTTTTTGTAACCATGATTACCAACAAAAACTGACCCATCACTCAAAGCTGAACAAAGTTTGGTGGTTCAGGTTATGTATGGAAAACACGATTTTGATACTAGTGTTAAGGTTTAAGATAGGACCTTGGCTTATCTATGAAATCGGCTTATCTACATTCATATATGGTAATACAGCAAATGCTTCCATGGAATGAGATCTACAAGTAATACAGGAGAAGTGAACATAACAACTAATTGCATGCTTCATTAATTATGTCACTAAGATCCATACAATCAAAGGCAAAAACTAGTACATATGTTTCAAGTTCCTTTTACTGTGCATGAAGCTACCAAAGTAGACATGATAAAATCAGATGAGTGGAACAATCAACATTTGTTGCATTGGCAAAGGTGCTCAAATTTACATATGTCATCCTTTCTAACAATGCAACACTTCAGTAACACACATATACATTAAGAAGACTGAAGAGAGACACAGTTGCCTTTGAATAAACTTACATTAACCTCTCACTTCAACTCCAACATAGAATGTGTTTTTTAATGCCTTGCAGTTTTGTGGGCAAGAGTCATTGCAATAAGCTGGTCAATAGCCATGAACCCTATAAAACAATATATCTGTGTGTTCTTACAAGAATATTTGTAACCATCATCAATATCCTCTTGCTTATGACACTGAACACTTATCAGTCAAAAGTCTTAGTAGGAAGTTATATAAGCTGCCAAAATGTCAAAGGGTGACAATAGTCCAACTCATATACGTCTGGTAGTTACTGCTTTAATTAGTCCGTATGATTCACCAAGTGAGAATTAGTACTATGGGCCATACAAAGCACTATAAACAAATTTTGAACTTAGATTCTTGTTGCCCTCTAAATACATCAACTGACTACACCAGTGTTTGAATTTAAGGGGCTCTGAGTTCCTTGAGGTTATCTGTAATAGCATGATACTCTCAGGATCCTCCAATACTTGTCTGTCCTGGTTGGTTTGTAGCCCAGTTGTTCAAAACGCCATTATTTTTATTATTAAGTGCTCATACAATCCACCAGTACCAGTTCTAAAAGCAGTCTTTTCTATAACTTCCTCTGCAACAGCTATTTGGTTGAATCTGTGTGCGAGATCCAGACTACACAAGTACTTGGCACCTTTCAGGACAGTAAGGGCTTCATCTATACGTGGGAGGGGGTAGGCATCCTTCCTCGTCTTAGAATTCAACGCGTGATAATCACAACAAATCCTAAGTTTATTACCTTGCCTTACTAGCAAGGAGATGCGTAGGGGCTTGAGGACTCTCGGATTACTCCCTTCTCTAAGGACTTACTGATGTAGGCATGGACTTCTTGCCTTTCGCCTGGAGGGATTCTTCTGTGAGGAATTCGCACTGGTGCATCGTCGGTAGTGATAATACGATGTTTGATGGCATCACAGAACCAGATGTCATCGTCATCTTTACTGAATGTGGTGGAGTGCTTGTAAAGAAGCTCTTGAACCTTGTGTCTGCAGTCTGATGGTAAGTTGCTGTTTACATCCATTCTCTGTAAAAGGCTGTCAACAAGCTGGTAATTCAGTTTGGATGGACTTGCTTCAGTGACTAGTACTTCTTCACAGCTGACCTCCACCAAGTCAATGTTTGGTTCAATGTTGGCCTCTGGAATTTTAAGATTTTCATTCTTGACTTTCAGTTTCATTTCTTTCAGAGCATTAGATCCAAGAACTCCAGGGACTTCTGTCTCCCGTTCTCTCATGGCATCATCCACTGGATCCTTGACAACGAGAAAGCCAACTGATCCGAAATTTTGATTGTAGACTGAAACATCCAATGAGATGAGGCCCAAGTAGGGTATACTGTGGCCGCTGGATGCAGTCAACCGGATAAACTGTCCCATGTCCAGAAGACCTGCTGATTCCAAGTATTCCCTGTAGAATGATTCTGTGATAGTGGAGACTTGGGCACCAGTATCAATGAGGCTCTTTATCCTGACTCCGCCAACTACCAATCCAGCCACTGGGCATGTCCCTACTATCCTAGACAAGGGTGGACCTTCATCGACATGAATATGTTCCACTCCTACTGTGTGGTCCTCCACAGCAGGATCGACTAGTTTGACGGCTTACTTCTAGCTGGGCAGTTACGCTCTTCCTCTCCCAACTTCAACGTGGTCTGTGCCTCATCAACTCATTTATTTGTTGCTGTTGCTTCTCAATCAGCTTGATGTTTCACGATGTCATCCATGTTGATGTGATGCTCCTCTACGGAGACCTTGTCCCTGGCAGCTGTGACATTTGACCCTCTCCACTCGATCAAACGGTCATGCAGGTCGAGGAACTCGAGATCTGGTTGTTCCTTGGTGAGACGCCTTATCTCCCGTTTGATGGTGTCGTTGGTTACAGCCTCTGCGAACTGGCTCTTCAGGGCACTCTTCCTCTGACTCAAGAAGGCTGGCTCAATCTCTGTAATGTGATCGTACAGATCAATCAAGTCCAGCGAAAGGGTAATAAGATCTTGTCGCTGCTTCTGACGATGAGAAGAAAAGCGATGCTGAGCTGTGGGTAAGTTACTGCCTCCTCTAAACACTTTCTGAAGTACTTTTATGATCTCTGTTGGTGATTCCTTGACACTCGACCCTCTCGCCAAAATCTCCTGTCGTGCTCTGCCTCCAAGGTGTTGGCAGAGGAGAAGAGCATGTTCCTCATCACTCAGCTTTCTTGCCTACTACTGTGCACCTGACGTCAAGTAACCATTCTTCCAGAGGAGTGATGTCTCCTGCCTTCATTGGCTTGCCCTTGAAGATGGTCAGCTGACGTCCAGTGGCTACCACGAGTGATTTGGGTGGACGATTTGCAAACAACTGCTGTTGCTCTTTTAACTGGATCTTCATCCTGGCAAGCTCCTCCTCCATACGAGACAGATCCTGGGGGTTGATGCTGGGGACATCATCGCTGCTGTGTGGTGACTTTGGCTGGCTCATGAAACAAGGCTTTAGAAAACTACTTCAAAGAAAGTGCATATATATGATATTCGAAACATCACACAATACAACAGTGCTGTTCACTGTAGGATACAATCATACAATCTTAGCCTAGCCACATTATCAATTGTTCTTTGATGCTCAGTGAGCATACTATTATGCCACGGGAACAGTCTGTCTTGGCACTGTCATTCAGCAGAAGCAATGACATCTCAAACGTGGTAGTCCTCTCTTGGGCTGCCATCCAGCGACGCCATCCTTCACTCACTCTGGGGGGTTCCAGCATTGCCTGTGTCATCCCACTTCTGACACCAAAAAGTTGTGGGGCGGAAAATATGACACAAGGAGGTTGAGTGGTCAATGCATCTTTTAATCCTCTCAACTTGAGACAATGAAGACGAAAAAATCCAAGGTGACCTGCTCCACAGCGAGGACGAGCTCGGAGTTACATCAGTCACCACTGGCGTTCAAGTTACATTGAATTAATAGGTTGAAAGACGGATACACGTGAGCCATAGTTCTGCGACCTGCCTCGACAAAAGCGTGCTTACTTCTGCCGCATGTCATGACGATTGTCGCAAAATAGATCACAATTTAAAATATTTTAGTGAAAGAGGAATCGATTTGTAGCTGAATATTAGTAACTATAAATGATATGAGGAAAATTATGAAAACAATACTGGAATTAATTATTTGTAAGTTGCAAGCTCACGGAATTTGCCGAAGATGGGCGAAGTTAACGAGCTATTTTTGATACTTGAAACTCTCTTCACATTCAGTTAGTTCATTTATAGGATAAATAAGTATCCTTGGCAGTTTTAGGATGAAAAGTGTGGTTCTAAATGGTTCTACACCACTTTGAGCTACGTTGGGGGAGACAGGAAATCCCAAGACCTTTACACAAATTCCAGGGTCCAGCAATACTTAATTGTAAAACTGCATCTGACTTAAGATGTCTTAGCTACCGTTATACTCAACAAAACGAGTACAGGAACATTTGAGACACATACAGGTAGACGAATAAGACAGGGTCCAGCTATCCCAGTAGCTTAGAACTGAGTCAGTAGCTTCCAAGTACCCAAACCTCAACTATTGTATGCACGATATATATCTGGCACAGATTAGATATACTGCTCTTCACGACACACATTCACATATGAAATGATTTACCTTCTGTGTATCTACGAGTCTAGATTCTGTGTTTTACCCTGTCCGTCAGGAACAAACTTTATCGAGCTTGTTCAGGAAATGTTTGTTTTCGTCAAGACTCGAGACAGTGACGAACATGTGAAACGAGGAAATGTTTTTCAGGCTAATATGTAATGTACCACGTGTGCTGTCTCTCTAGTGGGTTTTAAAATATATAAGGTAGGAATATGCACACAAACAAATGCAATTATTACCACAATTTCCCCAAATTTGAACAGCTTTGTTGCTCACCCAGGATCCCTGAAGAAAGGTTCTGTCAATTTGAAAGGTCAAGGTCAATGTGTCTAACGATTTATAAATAGAATAATATATTAATTTGTCAAATTGACTACTTTATAATGTACGCAATTAAAAAATGTACTCACTATTTCATTATTTTGAAATAAATATTCAAAAAGTAGTCACTGTATCTTTTTGTATTAATAGTGCTTGTGCTAGAACTACGTTGATTTACAACTAATATCACCATTTTTACATCGCGCCGTTTATTTTAATAACTCATATTGTTTACAATGCCATAGAAGTACATATTTTATTTTCTTGATTATAATTTGTCGTCAGATCTTATAAATTGTAAAGCTTTGATACGTCCAGATCAGTTCACTGATTAATAAATGTCATTTGTTATTGGCAGCTACTATGCCTTACCCGGAAGTATTATGGACGCATGTGCAACCGAATGCGGAAGTAAACATGATCGTGTTGCTCAACAAATAGAAAGTAGTGTATGTGAAGGATTTGGACATCAGGGATCACTATGTCTACCAAAAATAGACTGGAAAAATTTAAGCAAGACTGTGTTGAAGTTATTTCTATGTGCGAAAATTATAAGTGGTCATTTTCAGGTAGGTTGTATGTAATAATTGAAGCCTATTTAGCCAAACCAGTGGCATGCAAGTGTAACGCCCATGCTGGTCCGGCTGTCATACTGACAAAGCGCATACTGTAGCACTGATATCTCTTATCAGCTAACAAACTAGCGTTTACACTGACCATATAGTTAAAACCTACTTCGTTTTATAGTCAAACAAATACAAGTAAACCCTGATAAGATCATTAATGACGTATTGGGAAAACCATATATACGACAGTAGATATTGTCTTGATATTGATAATCACATTAATGATTATTATCACGTTTTCCGGATAATCTAATTTCATTTCTGAGAAAAGCTCCGAAACGACGGCAACAGCATTGGGCTGTTTATTCTTATCACACAATTTATGAAATACTGATTGTATGCTTTTCATTATGAAACCATTAACAGACCTGCCTAGACATAATTCACTCTGGTTTCTGTGAAAAACCTGGGTAAAGCATTGAATAATGACATGAGCACAATGCACACAGAACATGATGACTAAGTCAAATTCTATGATCTAGTTCTAAGAGTCGGCCCACCCAAAGGCTATTAATACATCCAAGAATTAACAGTAAAAAACTGTTTCTGTTTCAGAGGATCATGATTTTTTTACAAAAACAGGAACTGAAGATATTATCCTGTTTTGAAATAAATTGTCATCTATCACACATTGTTTTAAAAGGTTGCTTGGACATAGCAAGGCAAATAATAAGACCCAAAATTTACACAATGTAGTGATTCTTTTAATTTACCTCCCAAGGCACCAAGGCTGGAGTTTAAGATAAATCTCTGCTTACAACGTTGCAGCTTTTTACCCCATGGTTATATTCTCTATCTGTATGCAGGACATTTTTTTGTTTCGATCGTTCAGCATTTTGTTTAAATCTAATTTAAATCTTGTAGCAATTTATATTTATCTTCATCATTTAAGAAAACTGAAAATGCATTTGGTTTAAAAAGAAAGATACATACAGTGAGTATTTATCAAATCACCAGCTGAACATTCTGAAGTTTAGTTTTTTTACAGTTATTGCAGTCCTGTCATTATGGTATTGTATCTTATGCTGTAGAAATAGTGGCTAGCTGGAGACAAAATTGAAACTTGGGGGTGGGGAAAATGTTTTTTTTATGGATTTCTTTATATATGTACTACTTTACACTGCTGAACATATATGTTTTGATATTCCCTGACAACATGTCTGATGTCTATGTTTGAAGTCCTGGACTAAGTATCAAATTATCAAGCCTAAATATGTTCATAACAAACAAGTGTTTTTTGTTTCAGTTTGGTAACTTTGCATATCATCCTACCACATCTTTATCATGTAGCAAAAGACATACATTGAAAGTGATTCTGTGGCATTTCATTGGCTGTCTTAGCAATTTCTTTTTAAACCAAATCTTTTTAGGCCATGCCACAAGCAAACTGTCCTTTTCTGATTGATGGTCTGATAATACGATGATGTTAATGACTAAATTAAGCAGCCTGACTGTGAAGTTTTCTTTGACATGTTTCTTTATTTGTTTCCAAGAACTGACTTTGCATAAATCTGCCATGTGGATTTATATAGTATGCACAACATGTTTATGTGCATACCTAAAAAAAAAATGTTGATGTAAATTCTTAAGTATTGATTGATTACACAGAAATTTGTCAAACATTTTGCTACTCCACCTTGTACAGTATAATGCAGTTATCACATATACAATAGCTTCTGGTATATACATGTAGTTGCCTTTTCTCAGAGTGAGGGTCAAACCTACAAACAAGCACCTCATAGCATCATCATTGGAATCAATAAAACATCAGCATGACCATTGCAAAATGTAAATTTAGGGAAATACCTGAATATACAACTGTAATCCTATGTTTACAAAATAGCAACAGAAATGTATGTAGATAATTGTTAAACATTTTAAAAGTCAGATAAAATGGCCAGCTTATATTTGACATCAAATGTTCAATGAATGCCATTTCTCCTCCAAACAGTAAGCATGGTATGATTAAACATAGTTAAATGCATTTATTCATTTACCTTGTACATTTACCTACCTAGCAGATACATAGTCAGTTGTAATTCTGTGATTAACATCTTCTTGACATCTGACACCTGTTGAAGTATGATGATGATGATGGTCATCATCATCATCATCATCATCATCATTACAACTGCTTACAGCTGATTTCTTTGCATATGTAATATGTTTTCAAGCCCACTATATATCAAATCGTCATATAGGGAGTTTTGCTATTATAACAACACTTTTTCACATGTTGAAGAATAATGTCGTCCATGTCCACCAATATGAAACCTAAATTAATAGTTTTAAAGTTAAGTGCTGTTATTAGTGTTAATATCTAATGACACCCTTCCATGTGAGTTACGCTGATTAAAACCTGTCATGCAGATTATGCTTCTTTATCAAGGTAATTGCATACATTCCTGTATGTGATTCATTGACTACATTGAACATGCAGTAAAGGCTGTGGGTAGTTGGAGCCAGGTTTATATAATAATAATAATAAGTCATCTTCTATAGCACACTTTTCCAAACACCAAGTGATTGCTCGCGGGGCTTAATCAGAATCTGATTCTTATTACCCCGGATAACCCAAGCTGCCTGTTAGGTGCGCTAGAAGGTTATAGTCACATGACTTTATCCCACCGGGTACCCATTTTCTGCTGGGTGAACAGAGGCAATTTGAACAAACTCACTTGCCTAAGGTGAGACCACATGTATCACATGTGCTTCGTTTTGGGGCAGGACTGAAGTCCTAGAAACTCTCAGGAGTCAAGCTGCCACACACGGTCACTGAGCATTTACTCAGTACATAGTAACATTTCTATCAGCTGATTTCAGTAAGTCATGAGATGACATTCAAAACCATTAACTAATGCGTAGACGGAGAAAGATAGCAATATACCTGAACATATTGATTGGCCCGTATATGATCTTCATGAACCTTTTAGTGCTTGCTCCTGTTGGCATAGTTAGTACTCAGCTGTTGACAGCGCGCTGACCCCAAGTTTAGGTGTATGCAAGGAAAATGAAACCGTTATTGGCTGCCAAGTTCATCCTATTTTGAAAACATTTCCTGTTCATATTTCCTCAAAGTGAAAGTTGAATGTGTGACTGTGGTTACATTGGTATTCACCATGTCATTAAAACCTGGCCCTGCATCTTGTTAGAAATGGGGTTTCTCTAAAGTGGTAAAAGTGGTAATTGTCTGAGACCTGCATCAGTTTTGGCTTTCTTCCCAAGTCCAGATGATATGTTGTGATCTATCTCACTCACTCACTCACTCACTCACTCACTCACTCACTCACTCACTCACTCACTCACTCACTCACTCACTCACTCACTCACTCACTCACTCACTCACTCACTCACTCACTCACTCACTCACTCACTCACTCACTCACTCACTCACTCACTCACTCACTCACTCACTGGTACACAAAATTGTAGTACCTTGGAAGGTATTTTAAAAATATATTTGTGTTGATAGGGACTGTAAATGAGATTTTTCAGTTATTTCTGGTTGACTAAATTTAAGAACATTTAGTATTAATTATTTTTCACATTCTACTTTTTTGAGTTGTTGAATTATTATACCAAAATTTAAAATGTCTGGGCAGAATTTATTGCATATGTCATCATGGGGACATTAGAGTTGGAGTGGTTGCCTGGTATTTGCTTCTCATACTAAGGGCCTAATGTGTCATGCCCAATTCTGGTGATCCTGATGTGAATTTGTAGAAATATACCTGAAAGCAGTTTAACATTAGACTCACTAACATGTTTTTTGTGATTAGCAAACAGATTTTTTCTGATCCTAACATGAATTGTTCATGTATTCTTTTACATGTTTGACCCGTGAAGGTCCGAGGTTAGAATATTGATCTTCAGTAACCCATGCTTGTCGTAAGACACCACTAACAGGATCGGGTGGTCAGGCTCGCCGACTTGGTTGACACATGTCATCAGTTCCCAATTGCGCAGATCAATGCTCATGCTGTTGATCACTGGATTGTCTGATCCCGACTCGATTATTTACAGATTGCTGCCATATAGCTGGAATATTGCTGAGTGCGGCGTAAAACTAAACTCACTCACCTTACATGTTCATGTTGTAGGCTACCTATATTGCTGCCTGTAACACAAGGTTTTGCTACCCAGAATGATGGAAGTATTAAGGGGGCTATATCATATTTGGGTTTTGATGATCTCATGTCTGTTGTTCCTCATTCAGGTGATGTAATGTAGCATTGATTTCTCTTCCATTTGATTAGATGTCTTTATGAACAAGACTGTCTTTGGAATTATACTACTCAAACCAAAAACAACTCTGATGGCAGTGTAGGAAAGATAGCCCGTCCCAACGTCCGAGACGGGTGAATTTTGTGGAGGACGGGTTAAAAAAATATCTAGTCCGTCCTCATGTCGGGTCAATTTTAGCAAACCAATGACATATATATAATGATTATAACCTTTTTGAATATTTACTGTCGAAGGTGTTTTATTTATATTTGGAGGACAGGCTAGATTTTCTACATCTTTCCTACACTGCTGATGGTTTTTAATTTCACAAAATTGTTCAATATTGTTATTGTTATTCAAATGGTTTGGTTGAAAAAAGCCCCAAACAATTGCACAAATTCAATTAATGAGACTGTGAGGTGCACATCCAACTGGGATTGACCGTGTATAATATTTGTGTTTTCAGAGAACACTTTACTGACACAAGTTATTGAAGGAGAAGAATCAACTAGTCTGCACAACAAGCCAATCCAGTGTATTTTAGTGAAACTCAGGGATGGTAAGTAGTTAATGGTGTGATTTATTCATAAATATCTACAAGGTTCATTAATGCTCAACAATATAGAAAATATATATTTCTTTGTAAATGTTGTATATGAATGGCAGTGTTTTTGTGTGAATTTTTCATATTTTACCTTAGCTTATACTTCATTTCATGTATTTAGCATGAGCATTAATAATATGATGAGACTTGGAAATTAGGGGAGTAACTTGTCTCAGTAGGGTGTATTGGTGGTCCAGGGGAGTAATGTGTTTCAGTAGGTGTATTGATGGTCCAGGGGAGTAATGTGTTTCAGTAGGTGTATTGATGGTCCAGGGGAGTAGTGTGTCTCAGTAGGTGTATTGGTGGTCCAGGGGAGTAATGTGTCTCTGGTGTATTGATGGTCCAGGGGAGTAATGTGTCTTAGTAGGGTGTATCGGTGGTCCAGGATATAATGTGTCTAAGGTGTATTGGTGGTCCAGGGGAGTAATGTGTCTCAGGTGTATTGGTGGTCCAGGGGAGTAATGTGTCTCAGGTGTATTAGTGGTCCAGGGGAGTAATGTGTCTCAGGTGTATTGGCTGACTGACTGAGTTGGGTTTTACGACGCTTTTAGCAATATTCCAGCAATATCACGGCGGGGGACACCAGAAATGGGCTTCACTCATTGTGCCCATGTGGGGATTCGAACCTGGGTCTTCGGCGTGATGAGCCAACGCTTTAACCACTAGACTACCCCACCGCCCCTCAGGTGTATTGGTGTCCAGGTGTATTGGTGTCCAGGGGAGTAATGTGTCTCAGGTGTATTGGTGGTCCAGGGGTGTAATGTGTCTCAGGTGTATTGGTGGTCCAGGGGTGTAATGTGTCTCAGGTGTATTGGTGGTCCAGGGGTGTAATGTGTCTCAGGTGTATTGGTGGTCAAGGTGTGTAATGTGTCTCAGGTGTATTAGTGGTCCAGGGGTGTAATGTGTCTCAGGTGTATTGATGGTCCAGGGGTGTAATGTATCTCAGGTGTATTGGTGGTCCAGGGGTGTAATGTGTCTCAGGTGTATTGGTGGTCCAGGGGTGTAATGTGTCTCAGGTGTATTGGTGTCCAGGGGTGTAATGTGTCTCAGGTGTATTGGTGGTCCAGGGGTGTAATGTGTCTCAGGTGTATTGGTGGTCCAGGGGTGTAATGTGTCTCAGGTGTATTGGTGGTCCAGGGGTGTAATGTGTCTCAGGTGTATTGGTGGTCCAGGGGTGTAATGTGTCTCAGGTGTATTGGTGTCCAGGGGTGTAATGTGTCTCAGGTGTATTGGTGGTCCAGGGGTGTAATGTGTCTCAGGTGTATTGGTGTCCAGGGGTGTAATGTGTCTCAGGTGTATTGGTGGTCCAGGGGTGTAATGTGTCTCAGGTGTATTGGTGTCCAGGGGATTAACTTGTCTCAGGTGTATTGGTGGTCCAGGGATGTAATGTGTCTCAGGTGTATTGGTGGTCCAGGCGAGTAATGTGTCTCAGGTGTATTGTATCACCACGGGAGTAATGTGTCTTAGGTGTATTGGATCACCAGGGGAGTTATGTGTCTCAGGATGTATTGGTGGTCCAGGGGAGTAATGTGTCTCACTAGGGTGTATTGGTGGTCCAGGGAAGTAATGTGTCTCAGTTGGGTGTATTGGTGGTCCAGGGGAGTAACTTGTCTCAGTAGGGTGTATTGGTGGTCCAGGCTAGTAATGTGTTTCAGGTGTGTTGGTGGTCCAGGCGAGTAATGTGTCTCAGGTGTATTGGTGTCCAGGGGTGTAATGTGTCTCAGGTGTGTTGGTGGTCAAGGTGTGTAATGTGTCTCAGGTGTATTGGTGTCCAGGGGTGTAATGTATCTCAGGTGTGTTGGTGGTCAAGGATTGTAATGTGTCTCAGGTGTATTGGTGGTCCAGGGGTGTAATGTGTCTTAGGTGTATTGGTGTCCAGGTGTGTAATGTGTCTTAGGTGTATTGGTGTCCAGGGGTGTAATGTGTCTCAGGTGTATTGGTGTCCAGGGGTGTAATGTGTCTCAGGTGTATTGGTGTCCAGGTGTGTAATGTGTCTCAGGTGTATTGGTGTCCAGGGGTGTAATGTATCTCAGGTGTGTTGGTGGTCAAGGAGTGTAATGTGTCTCAGGTGTATTGGTGGTCCAGGGGTGTAATGTGTCTCAGGTGTATTGGTGGTCCAGGGGTGTAATGTGTCTCGGGTGTATTGGTGGTCCAGGGGTTTAATGTGTCTCAGGTGTATTGGTGTCCAGGGGTGTAATGTGTCTCAGGTGTATTGGTGTCCAGGGGTGTAATGTAGTAAAGATAGAAATACATATTGAAATGCTATATATTGTGTTACTGATTGTAAACCTTTAAAAACAGTCGGCAAATGAACCAGCCAATGAAAAGCTTTGTGACAAATAAAGTTCACACCCACCCGCTCTGACTGGGTTCGGTATCCTGGGTGCTTAGTTCGAGGGAAGTAACCCAAGTACAAAATATTGCACTTTGATATGCGATTGTACGCTTATAATTTTGTTTATTTGTTTATTCATAATCAGCAATGTATATTATATGTCATGAATAAATGATAATTGTGATTTGATTATGTTTAGTTTGTTGATTGCATCTAATCTTTAATGATTGTCTTCATACACACTGGCAGACTTAGTCCGACAATTCAAGTCTACTATGGATGACATCAAGAAGGCCAAGCTTGACTCCCAGCCAGGTGAGGGCACCTCTTACAATAGACTGGAGAGTGTTGAGTCAACAGGAAGTTCGGTGTACGGCGACTGTATGTCTGGGGGCTCGGAAGAGGATGATGACATGGAAGGGTATTACAACGACTATTACCACCAGCAGCAGCAGGAGGAGGTAGGCACATTCAGGAAAGCGTTTGTAGCTCTATGCCATTGATTAAGTATAGAGTTATAATAGGTCGCAAAGTTACGAATGCTTTGTGGATCGGGACCCAGATTTGTATTTAGAATTTACTGTTTCTATAATGAAGCAAATCCTTTGACATATGTGCAGATAAATTGTCTGTCAAAGGAATGAATTAGAAGATAAAGCTACTCTGTTTTCTATTTTGAGGTCCTTTATCTCGTTGATTTAAGACCACTATATGTAATTTAAAAACCGAAAGCGTTAACGTGAGGTTTTAAATTAAACATTAAGCGGTCTTAAATCAATGATGAAGGAGTTGAATATACTCCAAAACATCGTGTTCATCAAAATAAAGGAGTTGGCATCCATATATTCAGATCTACATGTACTTGATGTGGGTTTTGTCCCTTTATAAGTCCGGCTAATAACCAACTGGAATTAGCAGACAGCGTTTGAAGGAATAAATTAGCGAGGATGTACAGCACCATCATCATGATCACTGGGCTCAGCTTTGTAGCATTATATTAGAAAATAGTTGATTTTTAGTAAAAATTTAAATCCTGCAGAAATTTGAAACATAAAAAGAATGAAAAAGCCTTTTTTCGACAAAGCATCCATCCTCGATAATCTCCAGGGTATACTTTCCGATAAATCTCTACTATACCCTGGATGCATCTACAGCTCGGCATGATGATTTTATTACCTCCCGCGGCGGGCTTTTTATCCAATCAGGTGTCTACGCTGGGAAGTTGAGCGGACCAATCACAACTCACTTTCACTTCCTAAATCATCTAACTGATTAAACTTGGTAACACAATTGATGCAGAGGTTCTCTGAAAGAGGAAGAAGGAGTTCTTGCATATATTTTTTAAGGTTTCAGACCTGCCAATTTGCCTGTGTGATTTCCGCTAAAATCTGAGTCGCACTGCGAACAAACCTTAGTGGCTGCGACTGCTATCTTTGTTGACACTGGCAAGGTCGGTTGTAACGGCGGCTTATCTGATTGGCTACTGTGAGAATGCAGAGCCAGCAAAGGGAGGTAATAAAATTATTGGGCCGGCCATATTTGCATCCAGGGCATAGTGGAGATTTATCGTAACGTATACCTTGGAGATTATCGAGGATGCAAATCATCATGTTCAAGCTGAATTTGGAAATATCAGGGGGATCATGTCCTGTATGTTTTAGATAAAGTGTCATGTTTTTGTTACAGATGGAGAATGAAAACTCAGAAAAGATGAATGACTTGCTGGTAAATGATATGGAACATGTTAAATTACTGTACGGAGAGAAGTCACTATCATATAGGTGAGTTATACTTATTCCTTACCCATAAAAAGTTTACAAATTGGAAAGTAAAATTTGTATTAACTGTGAAATCAATGATTTTGAATGAAAAAACTCAATGTTTCCATGATCGCTTCAATTCTGAAACTGGTTAGCCTAAGCTACTGTATTATTATTGTTGAATATTGTGGAAGATTCCTGTAGGAACCCTGATTGGAGATTTCTTTGTTTCAGGTTATTAGGAAGCATCTATGAAGTTGATGTTGAACTAAGCATTCCATTGTCATTTCTAAATGTAAGTTTCTGTACATTTATGTGAAGTCAGTTCACATAATCATGATACGTGATCCCCTCTTCATCATATCTGTTGAGTTTCTGTTATTCCAAATTATTTCTTCAGTTGTCTTTTCTTACATTTTGATTGTAAACTGGTTTGTTAAGTCTAGTCCAGTCACCACAATCATTTAACTCAGTAGTTATGAAACACAACAGTGGACATATTATGTATTATGTACATTCTAATAGCTTTGAAAATTGAATTGAAATATGAAATGTTAACAAAGAAGTCTGCTTCTTGTTAATGGGTAGCCTTTTGTTCTGAAAACATTTAATACTTTTTAAAGGATTGCCTGTTGTCATCCTTATGATTGGAAATTTCAGTTATATCCTACTTCATGATTGAAACTTTGATATTTGTTTGACATTTCCAGGAAGAAGTAGCTGAAGCTTGGAAGCTCAATAGGAAGGAGCCTCTTATTGTCCGTATTCACCTGTCGTCTCTCCATTATCTTGATGTTAAAGGTAGGCTAGCTCATTAGTAGACCCCTCATGATTTGTATTCACCTGTCGTCTCTCCATTATCTCGATGTTAAAGGTAGGCTAGCTCATTAGTAGACCCCTCATGATTTGTATTCACCTGTCGTCTCTCCATTATCTCGATGTTAAAGGTAGGCTAGCTCATTAGTAGACCCCTCATGATTTGTATTCACCTGTCGTCTCTCCATTATCTCGATGTTAAAGGTAGGCTAGCTCATTAGTAGACCCCTCATGATTTGTATTCACCTGTCGCTCTCTCCATTATCTCATGATTTGTTAAAGGTAAAGGTAGGCTAGCTCATTAGTATTTGACTCCCTCATGATTTGTATTCACCTGTCGTATTCACCTCTCCATTATCTCGATGTTAAAGGTAGGCTAGCCTCGTTAGTAGACCCCTCATGATTTGTATTCACCTGTCGTCGCCTCTCCATTATCTCGATGTTAAAGGTAGGCTAGCTCTCATTAGTAGACCCCTCATGATTTGTATTCACCTGTCGTCTCTCCATTATCTCGATGTTAAAGGTAGGCTAGCTCATTAGTAGACCCTCATGATTTGTATTCACCTGTCGTCTCTCCATTATCTCGATGTTAAAGGTAGGCTAGCTCATTAGTAGACCCCTCATGATTTGTATTCACCTGTCGCTCTCCATTATCTCGATGTTAAAGGTAGGCTAGCTCATTAGTAGACCCCTCATGATTTGTATTCACCTTGTCGCTCTCCATTATCTCGATGTTAAAGGTAGGCTAGCTCATTAGTAGACCCTCATGATTTGTATTCACCTGTCATCTCTCCATTATCTCGATGTTAAAGGTAGGCTAGCTCATTAGTAGACCCCTCATGATTTGTATTCACCTGTCGCCTCTCCATTATCTCGATGTTAAAGGTAGGCTAGCTCATTAGTAGACCCCTCATGATTTGTATTCACCTGTCGCTCTCCATTATCTCGATGTTAAAGGTAGGCTAGCTCATTAGTAGACCCCTCATGATTTGTATTCACCTGTCGTCTCTCTCTCCATTAGTAGACCCCTCATGATTTGTCTCGATGTTAAAGGTAGGCTAGCTCATTAGTAGACCCCTCATGATTTGTATTCACCTGTCGTCTCTCCATTATCTCGATGTTAAAGGTAGGCTAGCTCATTAGTAGACCCCTCATGATTTGTATTCACCTGTCGTCTCTCCATTATCTCGATGTTAAAGGTAGGCTAGCTCATTAGTAGACCCCTCATGATTTGTATTCACCTGTCGTCTCTCCATTATCTCGATGTTAAAGGTAGGCTAGCTCGTTAGTAGACCCCTCATGATTTGTATTCACCTATTCTCTTTCAATTTTCTTTTGTTTGGCTACTTTAGTTGTCATAGTTGTGATGGTTTTCAATGGATTGTCTGATCCATATGGCTGGAATATCACTGAGTGCAGCCTTAAACAGCAAACAAAAGGAAATTCTCCAAGATACTTACATCCCTTGTGGCATTCTCTTCACATCAAGTTGACACACCATGATAAACCTGAAATATTGTGTAACGTACGGTTAAAATAAATATCACTGTCTATTGTTGGTTGTCATAATGCATATATTACTTACAGAGACTTATGCAAAACTTTTTTTTATTCTGGCATACCAATTCTGTTGAGATGATTGATTGCTTACATAGTGCTGTGTATATTGGCACCTATTCAAGCTTGGTCCCGCCCCCAAGTTTCTAACAATAGGGACAAATTGTCTGTCTCACGTTGTAGGCCACTCGTTATCTTGTTATGGACCATCAGCTAAACCCTGGTGCCATTTTTATTCATTTTTTATTAAATCTCTTTTTAATTTCTTTCACAGATCCACCCAAAGTTGAAGTATTCCAGCCTTCCAAGAAGGACAAGTTTGGTGTTGGTAGTCAGTTGAGAAAGTAAGTTTTCAGAGATTGATCGTGTTAGCTTCACACTGTATATGATTATTGATAAAGAATAATTTGGTTGTGTTACTGATTAGGAACAGTGCTTAGTTAGAGGCTGTTGTTTTACAGGTCAGACTTATCCAATCCCTAGTTACATTAATTATCACTCTTTTGGATCCTGGTTTCAGTTTTATCCACAATATCTTATACTTGTAAGGAATGAGTAAAATTAGTGACTACTGACTGCCTGGGCCTTTTATTTTTTCACCTGTTGTTCAGGTTAGTTTAGTTGTTATTGTTGTGATGGTTTTCACTGGATTGTCTGGTCCAGACTCGATTATTTACAGACCAGGCCATATGGCTGGACTAGTGCTGAGTAACATTAGTAGATCGAGCTCTATGACATGACTGTCTTCATTGTCAAATTGTTATATATTTTTCCTTATTACAGTTGTTTTTTGTCAATTGGTCTTGTTGACCAGCTAAAAATATTTAACGTCCCTGTGTATGTTTATGCCCAAATGGCAAGGGGTGTTTGTGATGCTATCAACCACTTGCTTGTCGTTTTAAGTGCTTGACTTTTTTGTGACTTGGCTTGATAGGGCTGAGTGGTTAAAACAAAAAACAAAACTGACATTAATTTTCTGTTTGTAGAATATTGGAGGTATTCCTATCGGACCAATGGAAGATTCTTAGCAATGCCTCCCTGAAGACGGCAACAGCCCCAAAGTCATTCAGTGTTCCATCATCTTTATCATCCATGACATTACTGGCAGAATCAAGGTAGGATAATCAAACACTCATGTTGCAAATATACAATGTATGGTGTCTTTTCCAGTTAAGGTGACTTAAGTGATTTGGGACATAATGTCCTTGTAAATACGAAAAGCTATGCCTGAATTTGGCCGACCCATGAAGATCTGGGTTAGAATATATCTTCAGGAACCCCTGTCATTAGAGGCGACTAACGGGATTGGGTGGTCAGGCTCGTGACTTGGTTTATGCCATCCTATCCCAATTGTGCAGTTCGATGCTGTTGATCACTGGATTGTTTGGTCCAGACTCGATTATTTACAGACCACCAGCAAAGAGCTGGAATATTGCTGAGTGCAGTGTAAAACTAAACTCACTCACTCATTCACCTGAATTTGCCACTTTAGCATGTTTAGTGAATGGCTAAGGTCTTCACTCATCAAAGATTATATAGATTTGAATCTGTGACTCAAACTAGTCATCAGTGAATCCTGATATGACAAAGTGAAGTAACTGCAGTGGTTTCTACAACTATTTAGAGTGTGTTAGATATGCAGAAAATTGGAACAAAATGGCATTGTTCTCATAGTCTTGCCCAAAGACCAGTGAGAGATTCTCCATGTGTGTGCCATGTGTGAAGCCTGTGTTGGTTTCCCTTACTGTGATATTGCTTGTATTGTACTGAAAGTAACGTAAAACCATACAAACTCATTTGAGGAATGGATGGAACTATTGCCTCTATCAATAACTTGTCAACATCACATCAATAACTTGTCATTGTCACATTAGTCTTATCAATATCAAATCAATAACTTATCAATATTACATCAATAACTTGTCAACATCACATCAATAACTTGTCAACATCACATCAATAACTTGTCATTGTCACATCAGTCTTATCAATATCAAATCAATAACTTGTCAATATCACATCAATAACTTGAGGAATAGATGGAGCTATTGCTTCTATCAGCTGAGATCAGCATGGTCCAGCCTGTTTTTTAATCTTTAATAAGCAATTTATTTGAATGTTCCAGAGATGACAAGGACCCTGACCCTTTCAAGGTGGAGGACAATGCTGTAGCACAGGTAGTAGAGATGGGCTTCTCCCCTGAGGTTGCCAGGAACGCCTTGATCATCACACGAGGCAATGTGCAAGAGGCCCTCAACTTACTACTTACGAACCCAGAGAGGTTAGTTGTCATTTTCACTGATATCAATAACTAAATAATGTCTCATCAGTTCCTCAGTATTATTCACATCAGTGACGTGTCATTGTCACATCAGTCTTATCAATATCAAATCAGTAACTTGTCAATAACACATCAATAACTTGTCAATAGCACATCAATAACTTGTCCCTATCACATCATTCTTATGAACATCATGTTGATAAGTTGTCAATATCACATAAATGTTTAGAAATTTGGTACATATTTTCCTGACTAAGATGATGACAGACACAAGTGCGGAACATTGTTTCTTACACACCGTAAAATTGTGTCAAGTTAGCATCAGACCAGTGCATATTTTGTCTATACACAGTCTGATCACAGTGGTTTCAGACAGCTTTGTCACAAACAGATGTGTAAGAAATCATCTAACCATGTTAGCAGCTACGTTTTTCAGCCGAAAACTTCACCACATGTTATTCAAATTTCGTGTTGGTTATCCTGTTTTGTTTGATTTGCACAGTTGTACAGATTTTGATATCTTGTCTCAAAACCTGGAGAAGAAGGTGAACAAGCCTCTCATACCTAAAGTACATCCGAACCGACAGTATTCTCACCCACCCGTGCCTTGTTATATGAAGAAACATGCGAAACGAAAATCAGGTTGCAGTCGACAGAGAAGCATTGCATCATCGTCTACATCACCAAATCTGTGTATGCCACCCATGGAGGATCTGTCTCTCCTGCCGTCCTCAACACTAAGTGGGAAAAATGCTAAACAAGTGCCATGTCTACAAGATGGCTTCCTTGTTCAGGTTGGTTTTGGTCGAGGATTAAGACAATATCTGCATCAGTACAATGTTGTCATTGCTGATTGGTTGGTTATTATTTTCATGGGCTAGTGGTTTGCTTCAACCAACTCAGAAACAATATGTATTGGTTTATACTTGTTTGTTTGTTGTTTAATGCCACACTCAGCAATATTCTAGCTATATGGTGGTGGTCTGTAAATAATCGAGGCTAGACCAAACATTACTGTGATCAAGAGCATGAGCATTGATAATGTGATTGGGATTGGGATATGACCAAGTCAGCGAGCCTGACCACCCGATCCCGTTAGTCACCCACGACTATCATGGGTTGCTTAAGACCGATTTTAACCCATATCTTCACAGGTGTGTACTGGTTTATAAATCGCACAGAATCCCTTCATTGAATGATATGTAAATCTGCATCAGATGTGATGATGTTCTTGTTGCAGGTGTTCCGGTATGTCCGACAGAGAATCCCAACCCTCAATGAGTACTGTGTAGTCTGTGATGAACCTCATGTCTTTCAAAATGGAGCCATGCTTAAGGTGATTGATTCTCTGTGTTTCAATGCTATAGACTTCTGTGACTCATGATGAATCATTGTCAGTATATTCATGAATCTTTCAGTATGACATGAGAGACATAAAGGATAACAGAACTTGTGTGCAAAATTCTATTGGACGTACTGAAGTTTGTTATATACAGAGAATGTTTTACTATTTGATTATGGAGGAAATAATTAATGCTGATTGGACTCTTTGTAAGTATGATAATTACTGTCTATTACCAATTTTACATTTACTGTAAACGTATTATGTATCGCGCAGGTTTTATTTTCACGCTTTTTGAGCAGAATATTTTACCGTGAAAATTTATACACAGCGAATAAACCCACGCTCGCCTCTGAGTTGTTACCATATCACATCAAGTTTGAAGACAGAAATGTACGGGAATCTTAACATGCAGACTGATAGTAGCATAAAGAATCATACTTAACTGTCGCTGTAATGGATTTCCCAAATCATGTCCCGACACGTTCTATTTTGACCAATCATAGTGACAGATGGTTTGATACAAACGAATTACCATGAAACGACTCGGAAAGAAATAATAGAGCAGTATTTTATTTATTCATTAAGATTTTATTTATATTTATTCCTGCATATCACGAAATGAAATCACAAGAAGCTTCATATACGGTAGAAGTTCATTTCCTTGATAGTCAATTTTGCAATGCCATCGTCAGATCGTCAGAATTCGGAACATAAGACCGATGTGTTTTTCATCTCTTTATATTTGCATCGCAATATCTCACTTCTCCTAAGTACTTAATACTTCCGTGAGTAAACGTATTACTGTATATATCGCGCAGGTAGGGATTTCCTGCTAGTAAGCAATACACGCCGCCTAACAGGTGGAGCCACTCTCGTTGATTTCATTGCTATTAGTGGTGGCCTAAGAGACAGCTGGCAGTTCCGGCAATTACTGATTGCGCGAATAATTGACCGCGACGATGTAGTCTAAACGGTCAAATCCGCGAAATTTGCACCAAGCGAAAAAAAGTATGTTTACAGTACTTGTGGAACTTGATACCTTAAAGCTTCAAATAGCATACTGTACACATTGCATGAGAGTGTATTCATGCAATACTGTGTAGAATATGAACCATTATATAATTTATAGTGCAAACTGCTCACTTTCCGCTCAAATGTGAATATTGTCACTTTAAGGTTGGGGTGGTGGGGTAGCCTAATGGTTCAAGCATCCGCTCATCATGCTGAAGACATGGCTTAGATTCCCCACAAGGGTACAATGTGTGAAGTCTATTCCTGGTGGGCCCCGCTGGGATATTGCTGGAATATTGCTAAAACGCGCGTAAAAACCATACTCACTCACTCACTCACTCTTTAAGCAGCATTTTAGAAGTTTTAGTATGAATTCTTTCATTGCAATATTCTGTACAGATGCCAGTACTTGATTGTTATAGTTACTTCTGAAGTGAAGAAGCTAAAGTCTGTAAGTCATAAGTTGCCCCATGACTGAGTATGAGGTGTTTATTTCCAGCCTGCTGTTTGTTCAACAGGAGGAGGTAAGTGTGTATTTGCCTTGAAATGTTCTCAAGCACTGGGTGTCATGAGGTAAGGGGAGATAACTGATGATGCTGCTGATGACATAGCAACAGGAGCTGAGGTAAAGGGAGATAACCTATAATTCCACCTTGAAATGTTCTCAAGCAATGCCCCCATCATAGGAGTGACAGGAGCTGAGGTAAAAATTCCAGATAACTACAATACCCCAATCATAAATGACAGGAGTTAAGGTAAGGGAGAAATGTTCCACCTTGAAATGTTACTTACAATACCCCAATCATAAATGACAGCAGTTAAGGTAAGGGAGATAACTGACAATTCCACCTTGAAATGTTCCCTGAAAATTACAATGTTCTTATCATAAATGACAGCAGTTAAGGTAAGGGAGATAACTGACAATTCCACCTTGAAATGTTCCCTTACAATACCCCAATCATAAATGACAGCAGTTAAGGTAAGGGAGATAACTGACAATTCCACCTTGAAATGTTCTCTTACAATACCCCTATCATAAATGACAGGAGTTAAGGTAAGGGAGATAACTGAAAATTCCACCTTGAAATGTTCTCTTACAATACCCCAATCATAAATGACAGCAGTTAAGGTAAGGGAGATAACTGACAATTCCACCTTGAAATGTAAGGGAGATAACCCTTACAATACCCCAATCATAAATGACAGCAGTTAAGGTAAGGGAGATAACTGAAAATTCCACCTTGAAATGCTCTTCCACCAATGTTCTCTTACCTTACAATACCCCAATAATAAATGACAGCAGTTAAGGTAAGGGAGATAACTGACAATTCCACCTTGAAATGTTCTCTTACAATACCCCAATCATAAATGACAGGAGTTAAGGTAAGGGAGATAACTGAAAATTCCACCTTGAAATGTTCTCTTACAATACCCCAATCATAAATGACAGCAGTTAAGGTAAGGGAGATAACTGAAAATTCCACCTTGAAATGTTCTCTTACAATACCCCAATCATAATGACAGGAGTTAAGGTAAGGGAGATAACTGAAAATTCCACCTTGAAAAGTCCCTTACAATACCCCAATCGTAATGACAGCAGTTATTTGATCATCAATAGATCCGTATCCTGCACTATTTAAGGGGATAATATTTCAGGAATAAAAGATAAAATTCTTAGGTTGACAGACTTCACAAAGTATTTGTGCTTTAAATTATGTTTCTTCCTTAGAGGAAATAATATCACTGGGATGCATAGTTGTGGTTGGATACCGCTGAGAACACTTGTGTAGCCAAGGCTATTCCTGTAACACTGTCAGCCAGTATATGTCACAGACTGATGTAGATATTGAGTAAATGATGGGGGTATGTGTATAGGCCCTGGTCAGAGGTGGGCAGTATGTTTCTACATATTAGAGATTGATAGTTTCTTAGCATGTGAACATATATCTGCATTGTGTCGTCAGATTGACAGCACTTTCTACTTCATGAACATTTTGTTTTCAAATTTTAAACCTGAAATATTCAAATGCACTTCTTTACTTTGAAAAATATTAGAGATTTAGTCAGTGTTTTGGTGCCATTCCTCATACTGATCGTAATGCTGCGATTGCCGTAAGTCAATTTTAAAGTGTTGGAGGTAATATCGTCTTTGCGCTAAGAATGCCTTGAGGAATGGGACCCAGGAAAATGTCAAGGTGATTGCTTTGATGCTGATCATTAAGCAAACGTGTAAACTTTCATGGAGAGATTCTGCATATTTGGTTCCTGTGACTGAGTGACCCAGTATATATATATATATATATTGCACTCACTGATGTTCCCATATTGCTGCCTCATACATATTATGAAATCCCCCCATGGCGCATGGTCCTGTGCTCAAAGCTCAGGTCACAAATCGGTGAAGTTAAGCAGCGTTGAGCTCGGAGAGTCTTTGGATGGGTGACCATGTATGGCAGCTTGACTCCTGAGAGTTTCTAGGACTTCAGTCCTGCCCCAAAACGAAGCACATGTGACACATGTGGTCTCACCTTAGGCAAGTGAGTTTGTTCAAAATTGTCTCTGTTCACCCAGCAGGGAAATGGGTACCCGGTGGATAAAGGCATATGACTATAACCTTCTAGTGCCTAACAGGCAGCTTGGGTTATCCGGGGTAATAATGTGCTGTGCCTTGATTGTTAGCGCTATGAACATTCCTAGTGTGGAGTTTGGCGCTATATAAATGGACACATTATTAGGTCTTCAGACGAAAGTCTGGAAGACCTACTGTTTTTACCCGAATTCTTCTTCTTCTTCTTCTTATTATTATTTGTACGTTTTTTGTACCAGCTTTCCTGACCTAACCGCTGGGTCGATTTTCATGAAACTTTCAGGGATGATAGCCTGTATGCTGAAATTGATACAGAGTCGAGAAAATCCTGATTTCCGGCTTCCGGTAAGGGCAGAGAACCCAAAATGTCGAAATCTTTACACCTGAATAACTCAAAAACTATAAGAGATAAATGTACCAAATTTTCACTCAATGTAGACAACATCATTCCCCGTCGATTCAGCACCTACAGAAAATTGGCCGGTAGGTAAAGTTTTCCGCAATTTTGAAAAAACTGAATTTTTTGCCGATTCACACGTTTTGACGGTGCCTGTCTTTCAAAATCTTCTTCTCCAGAACGGCATATAGTACAGTCGTGTTCGATACGCCGTTGGAAAGCCGATACTCTGAACTACTTAGTTTGCTCAAGGCATGTCGATATCTTGAATGGTTTTGGAGTTATCGCCCTTGGAAGTCGGTGAATTTTCTAAGATTCATTTTCATAGGGTTAAAGAAAAGGTCACAACTCTGCAAAAAATCAATGGATTTCATTTTCCAAAGTACCAACCTCTAGGTAATTGAATGGGTCACATTTTTGCTTCACATCATGGTTATGTAAAAATCAATAATTACGTCACCATTACGACACAAATACAACCTTCGCGATTTTGCACATTTCTGCAACTTTTTGATGGTGCCTATGTTTAACAATCTTCTTCTCCTGAACAGCAAATAGTATAATAGTGTTCTATATATCGTTTTAAAGCCCATACTCCGGACTACTTACTTTGTTCAACGCATGTCGATATCTTGAATGGTGTCGGAGTTATTGCCCTTGGAAGTTGGTCAATTTTTGGCAAAATGCATTTTTATAGGGGTTCACGGCTCTTTTGAAGGTACCAAACTGTAGATAATGAAATGTGGAACATTTTAGCTTCACATTATTATTATGTAAAAGTCAATAGTTACGCCACATTTACGACACAAACAGGGAGGGACATTAGGATTTTCACATTTTGTCAGTTTTGAGATAACTAACTGAAGGAAGCGACAGTAAAATCTAGCAACAATCGCCGTTTTGCATTTTGTCAGTGGTGAGAGAACTAACTGAAGGAAGCTCCAGTAAAATATAGCAACATTCACCGCTTCCTGGCTTTCCAATGCCCATAGAAACAGTTCCCTTTTTAACAGGCAGTAGCTCCGTTCTTCTTAGGTCTACAGTCAAAAGAGTTAGTGTTCTGGAATTGGAAGGATCTAATCTCTCCAGCAGCCTGTCCTTTGCTGTGCTTGGCTGTGCGTTCCTGTTTGTTTTTCTGCAGTTTGTGTCAGCTGCATTGAATCAGCGCCAGTAGTATATACAATGATAGTCCGAGACCAAGTCCAACAAAAGCCTCTGTAAAGCTTTGTTTCATAAATAAAGCTTTTGTTAGGTCCTTAGATCTCGCCGCCATTGTATATACTACTTTTGAATCCCCAGTTAACTTCCTGGTCACTATGACCGCGAACCAGCACTTTCCTGATCACGTGGCACTATTGTGCCTGCCCTATGTCGTGTTGACCTCAATGAAACAGTTTAATGTGAATCGCCTATGATCTCTTTGGTGTTCGTAATGAAGGCTTGCTGGGCTTTTCGTACCCCCTGTTCTATGTACTTTTTTTTTCCGTCTTCGCTGATAGCAGACTTACGAGACTTGGACCGGATTTCTTGTTTCATCTTACGGTACTTGTCGAGTTCAGAGAGGATTGAACGAAATTCCTCCTCTGAGATCTTACTGTCAGTGAGTGCCGTGGAAATACGCTCACTTACCGTGTTCAGCTTTGCTTCGGCCAGAACCCTGATCTCGTCGTGTTTCAACGCTTTACGATGCAGTCTGCGGGATGCAAACTTAAACACCAACCCTGCCACCCCTACCACCCCAGCTGTTATTTTAATGCCTAGCACTATAGGTGCGGCCACGATGGTGGCTAACAACCCAACACCTGCCGCCCCTAGTCCCATGCTGGTTGTCGTAAGGACAGTATCAGCCCCGTCTCCAATATTGAAAGCTCTATGGTACTTCTTACATAGTGCTTTCCGCGTGTCACGGTCTTTTTACATCATATAACTGTCTCAAGCGGAATCCGTCTACGGATTCCAGTGTCTTCGCGACTTCCTCTACGACTTGGTACAGTACCATCCTGTGTATAATATCTACTGCAAGATATTTTTTAATTCGTCGATTTTAAAATGAGTATCAATGTATTTGGGGCTTATAAGGGCTAGGTTCTCATTCAGTATAAGTCGGGTAAGTTATGTTCTTTGGGAAACTCTTATATTATCAGAATTTGGTATGAAAGACGTGAGCCAGACGCCGTTGTTCCTAATTTCGGAGACAAACCCATTTTTGTTTATGGAGATGTAAGGTGCTGTGAGGGTTAAGTTGATAAACCATTCGGGTTCTTTATATAATCTTAGGTCCGCCCACCTATACACGTTGTCTTTCAAGCGCATGGCGTACAAGGAGTTGTCATCACCCAAATCGAACCCCTCCACGTTTTCTAGATCCCCGAGTGTGATGTTGGGTCGATGATCGGTTATTGCCGCCCGCCTTATACACGTTGTCTTTCAAGTGTAGGACGTACAAGGCGTCTTACTCGCCGGGCTGATCGAATCCCTCTGTGTCCCCTAGGTCGTTAAGCGTGGCGTTGGGCCGATGATGATTGGACATTGCTATAATACTATTACGAGATAGTTTCCAACTGTTTTTCTGATAATTTCTCAGGGGTACACTTCACCCCCATGAAGTGTATGTTGGCGGGTAAGGGATATCGTGTCTTCC